GGAGATCAAGAATTGAGTCACTCAACTTTCAAAACCAGGGTTAAAGTTCTATTAAGAAATGTGTCTTCTTGTATGTCATTTTAAAAATCAGTGAATGGTCTATGAAACAGAAACCAGACTCTCACATCCTGGAGAGCCAAAATGTTACATCTTCATGGAAAGGAACACTAAGTTGGAGCATTCATCACACATCTGCCTTCCAGAGCTCATCTCACCTCAAAGAAGGGGGACAGCAACTGTAACAGGTTTAGAAGCTTTCTGTTGACTATTTGTTTTACTGCTATAGTCTTAACACCCGAAACAATATCTAGTACGGAGTAGGTGCTATGAATGAATCTGAAATACTATGGGCACAATTCAGCCATATGAAGTCATAAACCTAGAAAAGAAACTTTCTTTGTATAGTTAAGAACACTTTAGAAGCCAGGTGGTGCTTGCCTATAATTTCAGCTATTGAGAACCAGAGGCAGGAGGATCACAAGTTCAAGGCCAACATGAACTACTTAGAAAGAACCTATCTCAAGAAAAAAGAACATTTCATATTCCAAAGAAGCATATCGAACATGAATCCTACTCTGCTATCTCCTGTGAGCAGCCCCTGGGGAGACCAGTGAGGAGCCAGAATGTCCCACATCCTCCCCTAAGTTATGTCTATAGAACCGCAGACCTTTGAGGGCCAGCTATAGACCTGAAGTCCACCTCTCTCCTTATACTGGTGAAAATAAATTCCAGAGAAGATGGCTGACCTGCTACAGGTCACATATCCAGCTCTCTTGGCCCGCAAGTCAGACAGAGCATTTTTTAAAAAGCTGTGTGGTGCAGATGGAAAAGGAGAGTGAGATGACTGGGGCAAACCACACAGCTGTGACGGCATATGTCCTGCTGGGGCTCCATAAGCACCACAGCCTAGAGGTCGTCCTGTTTGTGTTTTGCCTGAGCATCTACTGTATGACTCTGCTGGGGAACTCCCTCCTCATAGGGCTGATCATGCTGGACCCCCACCTGCACAAACCCATGTACTTCTTTCTCAGCAATCTCTCCCTCATAGACATCTGTGGCACCTCTTCCTTCATGCCTCTCATGCTAGTCAACTTCTTGGCAGCCGAAAGGACCACCTCCTTCCCCAGCTGTGCCCTACAGATGTACCTGACTCTGGCACTGGGAGCTACAGAGTGCCTGCTCCTGGCTGTGATGGCGTATGACTGTTATGTGGCTATCTGCCAGCCACTTAGATACACAGAGCTCATGAGTGGACAGATTTGCATGCAGATGGCAGTACTGAGCTAGGGGATAGGTTTTGCCAACTCACTGCTGCAATCCATCCTTGTCTGGCGCCTACCCTTCTGTGGCCATAATGTCATCAACCATTTCTTCTGTGAGATCTTGGCAGTGCTAAAACTGGCCTGTGGGGACATCTCCCTCAATGCACTGACATTGCTGGTGGCCACAGCTGTCCTGACACTGATTCCACTCCTGCTCATCTGCCTCTCCTACATTTTCATCCTATCTGCCATCCTTAGGGTACCCTCTGCTTCAGGCCGCCACAAAGCCTTCTCCACCTGCTCTGCCCACCTCACAGTGATAGTGGTTTTCTATTGTACCATCTCCTTCATGTATTTCAAGCCCAAGGCCAAAGACCCTGATGTGGATAAGATTATCACATTGTTCTATGGAGTCATGACACCCTCACTGAACCCTCTTATCTACAGCCTGAGAAACACAGAGGTGAAAGCTGCTGTCACATCTCTGCTGGGGGGTCTGCTCACCAGGAAAATGTCCCACTTTTTCTGTTGCTCTCCATCTCTATCAGTCAGCACAGGCTAGGTTATGTTGTGGCAATGACCTCAAATTTCCAGTGGCTTAAAACTATTGAGGTTTGTTCTTTGCTCATGCTTCAGGTCCATTAGAACTTGGCTGGGGTTCTACTCTGCATCATTGACTTCATCCCTCTGGGACTTAGGATGACAAAGCAATTACCACTGGAACACTGCTGGCCACCATGACAAAAGGAAAAGAGAAACTAGCAGGGCCTACAGCCTCCACTCAGAAGTGACACATGCTACTTCCACTAGCATTTCACTGGCCAACACAAGGAACAGGCCCACACCCAGCATCAAGGAAGAGAAGCCCAGCTAGCATGTCTGGAAGACAAGAGGACTGAGAGATTTCTGAATACCTAATGACTTCACACTGTCCTGCATAGTCAACCCAAGAGCTACTAAAGATTTGGTTTCCTTTGCCCTGATCATCCATCTTTCATGGACTACTGCCAGGTTAGTCATCTCAAGAAAGCTCTGGTTAGCTCACTTGTGGTGGCTTTGTATGAGGTCAACCAAACTGGGTTAGAAATGTGCTTCCCTGAATTTCCTACCTGTATGAGTCTGGTTAGTCACCCACAGGAGACATGCACATGAGCTTGGAAGACAAAGGTAAACAGCAACAGGCCCTGTGAAAGACCTCGTATCACTAATGTGCCAGCTTACCTTATTAGTGCATCTGTCCAGTTCTGGTCAGATCACCTCTCTCAGCTGTTCTCAGTCTGGGCCAAGTGCAGCTCCATATCAAAAAGTGCCAGTTTCTTCAGGCCACCTGTGCCAATAAGCTTGAAGGCAATGAAAGCTAGACAGATTCCAGCTTGTTGTCCTGGGCTCTTTTTCTCCCTCACTCACACCCCGTGTTCCTTCCCAACTGCCAGAGGAGTTGGGCCTGTAGCAGCTTAAGGCCCAATGCCAAATGCCAAGGTAACAGCTTTGCATTAGCTTCCCCAATTGTTCCCAGGAGTGCATAGGTCAAATCTACAGTAAATTCCTTCTATCACTCATAGTAGTTCTCTCTCTTGAGTCAAACCCCAGCTGGTTCATTATTCTCCTGATCAAGGACCTTTCCTGGCTCTTCATTACTACAGCACTAAGCCCAAGTTCTTTGGGCCCTCCAGAGTCTGGCCCAACCTGCTTCTCTTCAGGTTAACTTTCTACTGGGCCTTCGCATGGGTTGGCCCCTTACTACACCATCTGTACTGCCTACACCTCCAGGCCTTTGCTCATGCTGTTCTGTCTTGAATCACACCAGACACATTTTCAAACCAAACTTAAGACATCATCTCTTTCATGCATTCTTCTCTGATGCACTTTAGGACTGTCCTCTGTCCATCCTATGGCACTTTGTCTGGGTTTTTCACTTGTGACCTATCTCATCCTGACTTGCATTCGTGACATTTTACCATGAGTTTCCTCAGAGCAGGATGCCACTAATGTTGACTATCTCTGCAACTCCCACAGGGCTTTCATTATAGCAGGATTGTGGAACTGAATTGTCACTCAGAAGCTCTTACAGTATCACCATCTAGGGATTGAGTCCCATGTGGCTGAGTATGCTGCAAGCAGTTATAGGTGAGCAGATATAGTAGTGTGACTGTGTGTACAGATATGTGCAAGTAATCAGCAGTACCTGCCAGTCACAGTCCTGTCTCCAAGACAGTCATGGCTGTTTTGGATCTTGGGCTGCCCGCAATAAGATAAGTCAGAAGACAAACAAGAGTTCCAGGCCTGATTCAGCTACTATACCCAGCCCTGTCTTATCGTTTATGCCCTCACCCCAAGGAATCCCACATGTACCTTAAAATGTCCAAAACTGAACTCATTATCCCCAACTCCAAGTAGTGCCACCATCACCTCAACTCCTAAACATGGTGACCATCCTAGATTTTCTTTCAGTACCTCATTACTACACACATCCAATCTGTCTCTTAGGAGTCTACCTTCTAAGAGCTCTTATATTGCATCCCTACTCTCCACTAACGCTGTGTAAAGAAGCCTTTACCATTTCTTTCCCAAATAGTGTGGCAGTTTTCACTGCACTCTCATCCTCCAAACTCCCCTCAAAACCCATCCCCTGTACCAGCCATCAAAATACCAATCTGTTTACTCCACCCTTCTACTTAAATCCTCCACTGGCTCCTCATTTTCCATGGGGGTAAAGACCAGACCCCAACTATCTGTCCAACCACATCATTGGCTTCTTGACTCCACACCACTATACACACACACACACACACACACACAGGCCCGGACACACTGTACTCTTCACAGTTCCCTAAGTAAATATCAGTTTTCCTGCCTCTTTGTCTCCCCCTTACTGTTGCTCCCATGTTCAAACATCCCGGGACATTTGGCTAGCACATATTGGACACATGTCACACACCAGACTAGGTACTGTGCTAAGTGTTCTAAGTACTTTACTAACTGGTGACCTGACAGGAAAATGGGAATATCAGTGGAGAAATGAAAGATGGGCACTTGTAACCACAGAGAACATTCTTCCAACATCTTGGCATCATAGCAACTCATTTAATCCTCACTCAAGGTCCATTTTCCAGAAGTCCCTTCCAACCCCTCCTAGCTGGGAGGGATATGTTCTTTCCCTCTTCAGTGCTTTTGTACTCTGCTGACTCAGTTCTGAATCTCAGCTATGTGGGTCGAGTATCCTAATAACCTATCCATCTCAGTGTGAAGGAATAACATTTCTGATAGAGGAAGAGACCCATAGCCCAAACACACTCACTCCTTGCCATTCAGTTAACCACATCATTTTCTATTCAATGCCCCAAGAAGAGATGTGCTTGCAGAAATCAGAGAATAAGGGTACATTTTCCTGGCTTTTGAGCTTTAAAAGCCTGGGCCCTGAAAAAAACAGAAAGAACTTAAGGCACAGACAAAAGATTTGAGAGAGAATGTAACAGGAAGGATTCAGATAACAAATAAATAGGGGAAAGAAGAGAGAGGAGGAAGGAATGTAGTGTGAGCACTGGCACAGAAGGTTCCCACAAGGGAGGGGTCCTAAGCCAACTCCCTGAATACATCTGCAGAATTTAAAAGATGGAGCAACTTACGCTTTGTCTGTTAAGTAAAACCCTGAGCAGGACCCCAGAGTAGAAATGTCTTCAGGGTGTGTCTGGGGAGTCAAGGCCTTAGACAATCTCACAGGTCTTCACATGTGGCACAGAAGTAGGGCACAGAACTTCAGTACTGAAAAGGTTATGAAGATAGGAACAAGAAACCTCCCAGCATCCAGCTAACCCATCTGGCCATCTGGAAACCACATGAGATGATGTAAATCTCAGGGGATGGGTGAAGTATGGACACTGTAACCAGAGAGAATGTTCTCCGAATTTCTTGGCCCTCAGAACTCAGCTGTGACCTGCCACCCCACAACCCCTCACCACTACTGAAAGAGAAGAAATCCCGGTTGACAAAAGATTATTTCTGGCACTCAGGGAAAAAGTGGAGGCTGAAAATAGAAGTTAACATTCTTGTGGTAGTTCTTACACATCTAAAACTTGTGTCTGTTACTCCGATTTCCTGGTACCTTGACTTCCTTCTCTGTGAGTACAGGCATCATGGGGGAGCTCTGTCTCACTAATTCAATTCATCTCAGTACATACACACACATGCACACGCACACTCATACTGAGTACACATCATATACTCACACCAAGTATACATAAGCACACATGCACACTCACACTGGGTACACACATGTACACATGCACACACACCTCTTAACTATTGCAGACTGGAATCCATAGGAATTGTGAAATAGGCAACAAGAAGTGTTTGAAAATGAGCACAAGGACCAGATGAGAGGGATACAGATGTGTACATAATGGGGTAGAAGCCTCATCTTCAAGCTGGTCAGCTATCACCCCTGCTATTTCCTTCCTTTCCCCACACTGTGACCCCCCAGAACAAAGGCAGCACAGACCAGCACATACTTCTTTAGAGACACATCAAACTCCACCTGTATGGTTCTCAGGATACCAACCTCCAGCCCCATCCCAGCTCCATCTTTCCTGCAATCCCCCACGTCCAGCACAGCCCAGCCTAGACATTGCCTCTGGGAAGGAAGCCTGAGGCCAGAGCTGCTGAGCCTCTGGAAAAATCTGCAGACTCAATTTCTCGAAGTTCAACTCCATTTCCTCTAAGTTCGACTCCATTTCCTCTGGAATGATGACACATTCCTGGTAGGGCTGTCTTCCTGGGAAGTAATTCAGGTCTGTAGGAGGGCTCCTGATCTCCAGGAAGGGTTCCACAACCCCAGGAGGGACAACTTGATCCTAAGGGGGCTCTGTGCCCTGCATAGCTCCAGTCCTTAAGAAGGACTCCAGGCCCTCAAGAAGTTCCCTATGTCCTGGGAAGGCCTTCATGTCCCTGAAAGAGATTGATATCCTTGAGAAAGACTCCATGTCTTCAGAAGTACAGTTTGTCTCTTGTCTCCAGAAGGGCTCCATAACCCCCAGGAAGAACGAACCCTAGGAAGGGTTCATATCACCTAGGGACCTACCCCAAAGCCCCTCTCAGCTGGCACAGATGCTGCTAACAGTGGCCCCTCCTGGACCCACAAGGCCCAGTTCCTCCTGTTCATTGATGCACAGCTGGTAACCACAGCCCCTGGCCTGAGCTCCAGATGGGACCCGGCGGTCAGTCTTGGCACGAGGAGGCAGCAAGAAGCCCACACTGCCGGCGATGAGCATATGCCAAATGCTATGAATGTAGAAGTAGTTGTCCCGTGTCTCCACGAAAGCATAGAGTAGGACGGCACTACCTGCAATAAGGCTGCCCGGGCACAGGTAGAAGAGCCAGCGGCGCCACGTTGGTGGGTAGCAGTGCCGGCGGCGGACGCTGCGTACTGTCTGGGAGAGGTAGAGAAGTGGGGCTCAGGATGCAAGGCTGTGGAACCTAAGCCAGAGCTGGTTACTCTCAGGCTTCCCCTGAGCCCTGGTTATGACGTACAGGCAGCTACTAATACTGGAGTGGGTGCTATGGGCAGTAGGTGATGATGACACAGTCCCTTATATTGAGAACCAGAGAGCCAGGGCCCTACCTGCACCCAAGTCCTGCCCCCCTCCTCAGAATCCCCATCCTTACCCAGGCTGTGGCCAAGATCCCCAGGGCAAAGAGACTGGGTCCAAGCAGGTTCCAGAGTCCATGCCGGTCAAGCTGAAGAGCCATGGACAGCAGCATAGCCCCCAGCAAATACAGCACCTAGGGAAAGAGGACTCCAGGGGCTGGGCTAGTGCTATGGGTGACAGCACTCCAGGGGCTGGACCAAGGTGACGAGAGGCACTTGGGAAAGCCCCCAGGAATGGATTTCAAGTAGACCTTGGCTATGATTGTCCCCCAGGGCCCACTCTTGACTGACCTGCTTGACCACGGGCTGTAAACGAGCCATCGCAATGACAGTGACCCACACAGACATTAAGGAGCCCAGGAAATCACAGAACTGCAGTACATCATAGTCCATGATGCAGAAAACCACGATGCCTGGCTGGTCACAAGCATGATAGAACTAAAGAAAGAAATAACAGGTGTTGAAAGCACTTGAGGCACAGGTCCAAGTCTATGAAACTAGAGAAAAAGGCCATAGGGGTGCTTCTCCGTCAGTGAAGCAGAGGTCAGAGGTCAGAGATAAGCAGAACTAGGAAATGCCTGACTCCCCCAATTCTGAGAAGCATGTGGTAGAGAGGTTTGATCTGCTTTGTAAGTCACATGTATCTAACATAGGTCTCTGACCCTAGTCCTCACCTTCCTTCTGGAATGTCCTCTGGAGAATGTCCAGATCTCTCAAACCAAAGCTAATCCCTGTCCTATAACTTCTTGTTCACTGGGGGTCCCACCAATACCCAGCCTTGGCCCAAACTTTAGAATCCAGCTCTAGCTTCTTGGTCAACCTAGACCTTAAACCTTCCCTACATGCCCCAGTTTCTCCTGACAGCTCAGAATCTGAACTGGACTTCACTCTCATGACTTCTACTAACTGACCCTCTTCATCCCTTCCATCCAATGCCAAGGGGAAAGAGAGCACAGTAAGAAAAAAGGCAATCACTAAGCCCATGGGGATTAAATCGGCACTTCACATCATGGGGAACAATATGAAGGGGCAGTGCCCATCTCTCCTACACTGTGGAGAATTAACATTTGATTATGTCTAAGAGATCTGTTCATTTTTCAGCTCACTTAGATGTGCCCATTGAGAGTTGATTTATTTCCTAAACATCAATATTTTGGTCTTTTTCTACTTTAGATATAGGACATTGATTATTCTCTATTTTCAAGACCAGGCATAAATGCTACAGGTCACTAAATTACTGAATACTGTTTTATGGCTTGGATTTTCTTTTCAAGCATTAATTTTACATTTTAGGTTTAATCAAGCACTTGGTCCATATGCCTGACTTTTGTGTATATAGAAAGAAATGCCCAGAAGTTTCTAGAATAGGGACTTGTAATGAATCCTCCAATCTCAGATAAAGGAGGACACAAGACCAACAGAAAAAAAATGTGAAGCTGAATCACTACATATAGAAGACACAGCTGGGAGAATAATCGAGAGCTGACTTTCTCCCAGGAATTTCTCCATACTAAAAAGGGTGGGGAAAATTGGGGATATTGTCTCTGGAGTGGAGGGGTTTTGAAGAAATCATCTCACTAATATTCTATGGCTGATTATTCTCTAAATATACTGAAAATTCAAAGTGATTGTTTAAGATTGTGAAAAATCCACAGAGTAGAGTTAAATTAAAACTGCTGTGAAGGAATTATTCTACTAAAATTTTTGGGCTACATTTTAGATTGGCATTTCTTTTGTAGCAGCAATAGAAAGTAGTAGAAATGAAAGGAAATTTAAGAAAACAAATTTAGACTACAAACTGGTTTTTTGTTGTAATACTAGTTCAAATTAGACACTATAGTGTTGGACATTATATAGGAGGCAATTTAGAAAAATTATCCTGGGTCAGGTACAGTCGCTCACACCTATAATCCCAGCTACGTGGGGAAGCAGAGATCCAGAGAATCATGATTTGAGGCCAGTCAGGGTAAAAAGTTGGCATGAGCCCATTCTTAATACAAAAGCCATCTTAATACAAAAGCCAGGCATGGTGGCACATGCCTAGGGTCCCAGCTACATGGGAGATCATCGGTAGGAGGAGCTCCGTTCAAGGCTGGCCCCAGGCAAAAATGTAAGATCCTATCCAGAAAAACTACTAAAGCAGAAAAGGGTTGGGGGCATGGCTTAAGTGGTAGAGCACCTGCCTTGAAAACATGAAGCCCTAACTTCAAACCCCAGTACTACCAAAAAAAAAAAAAAAAACAATTATTCTAAATTGTTTTACATGGAATTTTACACTTTTACAAAGTAACTATATAGCTCATCTAATGTCCAAAAATGGGGTATCCAGGCATCACAGAATGTCAAACTTGAAATGCAAACACATTGAATCAATGTGAAGATTGGAATATTTGCATTCAGTATATAATAGAACCTACTGTTGCGCTCTTTTTTGTTTTCTTTTTTTTTCTAGACATTGAGATGCTTTATTTTTTTTGGCAGTACTGGGACTTGAACTCAGAGCCTCACACTTGCTAGGCAGGTGCTCTACTACTTGAGCCATACTTCCAGTCCTTTCTTGTGTTGAGAATTTTCAAGATAGGGTCTCTTGAACTATTTGCCCAGGACTGGCTTCAAACTGCTATCCTCCTGACATGGAGCTCTACCTAGGGCCCACTGCAATCGTGTAGCAGTCTTCTCCCCGAGTCCAGAGCAGAGGGTTCCTGACCCTCTAGGAGGGCCTGGCTCACTCTGTACACCGATAGTTCTCCAGTGCTCGTGACACTATTGCCATGGGCTGCAAAGATGATCTGGCAGTGGGTGGTCCCGTCTTGGAGCTTCTCACAGGCAAGACATAAGCAAATGGATATAAGGGAGGAGTGACTGAAACAGGGGTTCCTCTAGGGCCGCCAGGAGCCGGTAGAGGAGTGTGCCCATTCTCCCTGGAGGAACCAAAGAGGCTTTCCCAAGGATGGGACCTTTGAGTTCCTTCCTCCACCTCTGCCCCACCCTCACCCCACTCCGGAGCAGCAATCTTGTGGCCCTTGGAGATGTCTGACTACAGGGGGATTGGTGGGGTGTCCGCAGTGGCAAGGGGGACAGTGAAAGGTGGAGGTGGAAGAAGAGGAGGACAAAAGCAAAAAGAACAGGAGAGGAAGGGGGGGAGAGGGGAGAAGAGGGAGGCGGAAGGAGAAAGGGGAAGAGAGAGAGAGGAGGGAGGGAGGCAGAGAGAGAGAGAGAGACAGAGAGAGAGAGAGAGAGCTATTTTTTGTTTTCTAATTCCAGTTTCTCTTGGAAGGAGCTGTGGGATTTTTGCCAAGGGCCACTGAGATTTACTCGTGATGGTTTAAGGAACAGAAGAGGTAATGAGAAGGTGGGCTTGCAGCCAGATATCATCAATTGAATCACCAAGGAAGACTGCACAGTTTCAGGGTATGGACTCCATCTGGGCTTTTGGGATCTGATTATAAGACTTAAATAGCATTGTGAAAGGTATGTATCTTGGACTGTGTAGATTAGAATTGTTCAACTACAATGTTTGATATATTTTCACTGATGGTTTGTTTGGTGGTACTGGGATTTGAACTCAGGGCCTAATACTTGCTCAGCAGGCACTCTAGCACTTGAGCCACATCCCTAGTCCTTTTTTGCTTTAGTCATTTTTTCGGATAGGGCCTGGAACTTTTTGCCCAAGACCGACCTCAGACCACAATCCTCCTTCCTATGCCTCCTGCATAGCTAGGATTACAGGCATGAAACACCATGCCTGCTTGGCAACTGATGGTGTTTTATATTTAGTTTGGTTTTATTTTCTGATCTCCTAATTGGCTCTTATCTTTTAAAAATTAGGGAGGGCTGGCAATGTGGCTCAATGATAGACCATTTACCTGGTATGCATGAGGCTCTGAGTTTGATCCCTAACATTGGAAGAAACAAAAAGAAAAAGAAGAAAGAAAGGGAGGGGAACTAACACAAGAATTCGGGGAGCAATACTAAACTGAGGTCATGTGTTTCTCTACATACCCCCAGGACTTCTGAGAAACTGAAGTCAGATTAGACATTTACCATTGCATGCTCACGCCCTATAGTTCTGTGATTACACACAAGGGACCAGAGTCAGGCTGAGTGAGAATCTAGGCTCTACCATTCACCTTCTCCTTAATCAAAGCATTTAACTTCCTTCCTCTACAAAAAAAAAAAAAGATGATAATAAAAGTGCCTAATCATTATTACAGTGTTATTGTGGGGATTAGATTAGCAGTGTCTGATATAGCACATATTCAGTACATGTTATTTTGCTGTGATCACTAACTGAACTATTTTCCTATACACAAAACTGAACTGCTAGGTTTGTGGCCTGTTTTTACTTTTTTAAAAAATATGTATTTTATACGTGTAAACTCCTGAATTATAGACCTATAATCTGCTCCTATACCCTGGATAGGAACACATTTGCCACTCCAAGGTACAGTATGTTCTGGATATTAAGACAGGGAGGATAACAATATGACTAATGGGTCCTTAAATGGATGGTGCTACAGAAAGAAAGAAGTTTAAACTAAGTAAAGAATACAAAAGGAGGGACAATAGGAAAACTGGATGACTAGTAGCTCTATGTTTGGGCCATGCATAGAATTTTTGGGAAGAAAGAACTAGAGCTAGAGCAGGACTTTAGTCAGAGCCTAAAGTCAATAACTCTTCCTTATTCTCCTGCTTAATGACTATTTTAAGAAGTAGGGGATCTTTATGTGGTGCCAGGCAGTTGAGGCTACCCCAGTGTTCCTACAAGGGGAAAGGTCTTTTAAGGTTGACATGCCATTGCATCCACATAATGAAGAGTCATCTAGCCTGAGATACTATGGGAGCCAAAGCCCAGGAGGCTGTGCCAAATCCACTGAAAGGAACGTGCTCTTCCCACATGCTCCAGGCTCCTGATACACTAAGGTACTCTTACTAACTGGGAATCACATTAAATCTGCAGGGAGCCAAGATCAGGCTGGTAGAACAGCTGTCATTACAGGATTTAGTAAGCAACAGTACAAAGGGCATATAGAAATAAGGAACAGTATCAAATATAAAAATAGAATGACACAATTACAGCAGGCCTGAAAAGGGGCCCACTCAAGCAAAATTGGGGTATGCTTGTCTCATCCCACTAAAAGGGCCAAGGTCTCTCTAGCACCATGGTCACGGCCTATTCTGCCCATTCCTGGATGAGCAGCCAGGAAGACCTGTCACCCTCACTTTCAGCACATTTATTCCTACTTTCTCCCAGATAATAAATAGGACTTTTGTAATTTGGATATATGTCTGATGTAGTAATCCTGGATACCAGGGAGGCACATAACGTTTTTTGTGATATACTTGTTCTCCAGACATGAGAAGAGTCTGAATCCATCTAAGATTTTTGTGGTGCTCATAGGCAGACACTAAAGATTCCAAGCACCCAAGATGAGATGACAAGATCTCTAGCTGCAGAATACTGGTAGGGAAAAAACCTACTTGGAGGTTAAGTCACATTAGCAGATCCACTTCTCCACCTTTCCTTATAATATGTGATAAGCTTACTTGTCATGTGAGACTTTCTGGTTGTGAGGAGTGGGAAATCTCAAGAAAAGAATTGCAGAGATTCTGTAGTGGGAATGGAGAAGTTATAAACCACAAATAGACATCAAAATGTATTCCTTTGAGCTGGAATTTTGTATCACATTGCTACTTCCCATGCTGCCTCAAGACAGAGTTTCTCAGGACTCTGAGAGCCAGACTTTCCTATAGATCCCCAAATATCAAGATCCCTTCTGTCTTCTGTCTTCTACAAATTCCCATGAGAAATTGAAAAGGCAATGGTGACTGAATAGGGTGTAGCACACTTTCAGAAATGAACACGCTGAAGAGTACAAATTTCCCAAAACAGTGGAGACTACAAGTGCAGAGCAGCTAGCCCTCAGATCATGAAGGAGCAAACTGAAATGCTCTCCACGCAGAGATGGGGGTGAAAGTGCAGATTTCCTGCCCCCCACACAGAGGAGAACATGTGAAGGTGGAGACATAGTTGCATACTGCATTACTGAGCTTCTCTCCAGTAGAGTGGAGTCTAGGGACTCCAGCCAGGTGGGCAAAGTGTGGGGCAGCTGGAGCCACACAACTGTTACATTAAGTTGCAAACAGCTTTGGTCATTTATCCCAAGGTGGTTTACAAAAATTATCACATTCTATATATGTCATGGTGGGTTAGGAAGCACTGCTCTAGAAGACACAGTGAAGACCAAGACATCCCCAAAGCTACAGACAACATGGTGGGAATGTAGAAACCCCTTCCCCACCCCTGTGAAGACAGAGATACCACCACATACTGTGGAGAAGAACATGGTGAAGGTGTACACAGCAGCTTCCAGCACATATCGGCTCCGGATGGCCAGGACCACAGGTGGCAAAAACATGAGGTTGCTCAGGCAGAGCAAGAGTGTGGACAGCAGCTGGAATCCATACGTGAGCGCATCGGCACTATCGGTGCAGCCCCAGCCCCGCCATCCTGCAGTTGGGGAAGGCACAGGGTGGAGGAAGACAGAAGGCAACCATGGGTTCAGCAAGTACTTGTGCCCACCCCAGTCCTTGGCACGTCCGCCACTCTGGAGCCCAGGAAGCCCAGCGCGGCCACTTCCCCGCCAGCCCACTCACCAGCTTTGCACTCGCAGGCCGCATACAGATAGTTGTGCGTACGCAGCAGCTTGCACTGTCCATAGGGTCCGCAGTCGTCCACGCACGGGGACAGGAAGGTGCGCAGCCGCACTTCGGCCGTTGCGTTGCGGCACCGCATGAACCTGCAAGCACAAACAGGTTCACTTGACGCCCTGGCGGCCCTACCCAGCCCCAAACCTGCCCCCCACCAACCCCCGTCACTCACCGAGGCCCCACTCCACACAGGGAGCGGAGGGTCAGGAACCAGGTCCCGGTCTGCGGGAACGGGATTCGCAGCCTGGCCACTCTGGAGGTGGCACTGACTGATAGGAGGAAGCCAGCCAGGGACTCTGGAGAAGGAAGGGGAGCAGTCAATGTGAGGTCATGACCCAAAAACTCTTACCCACCTGCCCCTCCTTCCCCCAGACCCTACCCTGTCTTTCCTCCACACCACCCCCCACAGCTCAGTCCTGCAGGGATTCCAGGCTTCCCCTCCCTTCCCCCTCCTCACCCCACCTTTGGAACAGGTCACCGCGGCATCCCCCAGGCTCAAGGGCACCTCATGAGTCAGGCATCCAAACACTGTCACATTTTCTTGGCGCAGGGAGCTCTGGGGAGACAGGTATGGAGATGAGGCTGTCAGACACATCAGGTGGGCCCACCATCACCACCTTCAGACTCCTACACCTGTCAGGGTCCAGTCCTCCAAGGCCTCCATAACAAAGCTGCTCTCTAGCCTTTATTCTTAGAACCAAAGAATCGAAAAAGCATTGGCACCTCCACAGCAGGAAATGTTTGAAAAACTGAGAGCGAGGCCCAACTCTACTCTTCCCTTCAGAAGAGAGCATACCCTCTTTTCAATCCTATTCAGTTTACTGGGGGACAGGGAAGCTGTTGCTAGATGTAGAAACTAGCTGTGGACAAAGGAAATTTAAGGTTCTCAGTCATCTTGCCCCAGAGCTGAGAGCAGGAGGCTTATAAAGAAACTCACTCCACTGGTGAAATGATCCTAAATTCTGAATGGTGGTAATCAAATGCCAGAGGGATTAAATATAGCAACCAGGATGGGAGTTAAAGAAACCAGACACCCCCAGGAGTAAATATAAGGGGTTGACTACAAGAATAAAAGTAACAGGATGCCATAAGCTCACCTCATTCATGAAGGATTTTGAGGAGGCTTATTGAATACATAAAATGGAATAAGTCATGAGAGGAAATTTTAAATTTAGACAGAAAATAAAGTCTATCTTGAAATGTGACATATTTGATACTGACTTCCAAGTGACCAAAGCAAAGAAGGAAACATGGTAAGTTTCCAGATTTGTGAGTACATAAGATAATCAGCATCTCCAGGGAAGCAATGTTCACAGGGTGGTCCTCAGCTAAAAATCTCACACAGATTTTATACCTCAACCACAAGAGTGAACATGGTACAACTTGCTTATAACTACCCTCAATGCAAGCCCAGGGCAATATAACAAAGTATCACTCAGTAACAGTCATTCTAGGAGGGAACCAAAAGGAAAAATAATTTATCCTCCAGGTATGCAGCTCTTAATCTAAGAGGGAAAACATCTGGAGGGAACTATCAGAGCAGCAGTACTAACATACCTTTCAGAATAAATTTAACAGGCTGTCTGAGGTATGTAGCAAGTCTCAAAATGCACAAACAGCCAAATGAAAGCAGATAATCATTAGAGTGAGGATAGAGAGGCGAGAGAGAAAAGGGCTGCAGAGGGCTGGACCCCTACTCCTGTGTACTCAGGAAGAAAGAATATGGTGGGACTGGCCTCTGATTTGGGCTCTATAGATTCAAGGTCAAATTAAGACCTCACTATCAGTGCCCAAAGTCGTGGCAATAAGCAAACACAAAATATATTGAATTTTATCCAGAACAGAATCAGAGAGAATTTGAGTATGAAAATAAGGCATATATTCAGGTTGAAGAACCAATTCCATTCTGACAAGCAGGATCACTAGAAAGTCCTGAACCATGTCCTATAAAAGGCCACATCAAACCACAGTACACATCTCAGACTGGTTGATGGGCAAGTGGTGCCTGCCTTCAGAGCTGAAAGATGGTAGAGTCAAAAGGCTCCCTGGTTTGGGATTGGGGGAGGAGAGGAAACAGTATATAAATTACTGGACCAAAGCCAAGCTGAAGCTAATCTCCAGTGGCTCACCACAAGACTCTGCCCTCATTCTACTCTTTCTCAGTGGTACAATAAAGACCCAGAGGTACAAAAGGCTGGCTTTGCAGGTATGTGAGTTACACAAAGTGGAGAAGGCCCAAGACCCAAACCAGTATCAGGCAATGCCCCAAGGATGGACATAAATTCTTCCACTCAGGTTCAAAACTTCACTGCAAAAACACAAGATGGGAACTGGCAACAGTTCACAGGCTCAAGGCTCCAAAATGTATATGCCCAGGAATTACCACTAGATAAACAAAGCAGTTAATGTGGAGAAGGCTGTGAGGAAGCATGCCAGAAAGTTAAAGAGTTGGTAAGGGAATGTTTTCCCTTATTGTCCTTTTATGTTTTTATGTGATCCTGTTGCTTTCATAATAAAAATAAATGTAGCTGGAGGCATGGCCCAAGTGGTAGAGTGCTTGCCTAGCAAGCACAAGGTCCTGAGTTCAAACCCCAGCACCATCAAAAGATAAATAAATAAATAAATAAATAAAAATAAATGTATAAGATTATTCTCAAGAAAATAAAAAGGAAGTAAAAGAAAAAGACCCAGGGATCTTCATTTACCACAAGCCCCAAATAATCCCAGAGTGAGATGCAGCAACTCAAAACAGATCACATGGTCTCAAGATGTACAAATGCAAGGCTTGGCTGCCACTTGGTTAACTGACTCAGATCATCTATATCAGAGACACAATGACCAGAAGATGTATGACCACAGGAGACAGTGGCAGATGGGGAGACATCTCTGGGCCCCAAGACACAGAGATTGTTTCAGCTTTTGGGTGATTGAGGAAACATGTATGAAGGGCTGTTAAAGTAGGACAGGGCCAGGCATGGTGGTCACACCTGTAATATCAACATTAGGGAGGCAGAGGCAGGAGGATCACAAGTTCAAGATCAGCCTGGGCTATAGAGATAGACCCTGTCTCAAAAAATAGGCAAACAAAATTTTTAAAAACTGGATGGGAGCCAGGCGCTGGTGGCTCACTCCTATAATCCTAGCTACTCAGGAGGCAAAGATCAGGAGGATCTCAGTTCGAAGCCAGCCCAGGCAAATAGTTCCATGAGACCTTCTCTCAAAAAACCCTTCACAAAAATAGGGCTGGTGGAGTACTCAAGGTGAAGGCCCTGAGTTCAAGCCCCAGTACCTCAAAAAAGAAAAAAACAGGATGGGGATGTAACAAATGTACCACTCTAAGGCAAGATGTTATTAATAGGGGAAACTGTGCAGGAAAAGAGGGGCCATATGAAAGGTCTGTACTTTCTACTCAACTATTTCTATACACATTTTTTTGTGGTGCTAGGGAATGAACCCAGGGCTTTGCACATGCTAGGCAAGTGCTCTACCACTGAACCACATCCCAGCCCTTTTCAATCTTTCAATTAAACCTAAAACTGTTTTAAAAAAACAAAGTCTATTAATGTTCTTAAAAGACATTTACTTAATATGGCTTCTGGGCAAAACAAAGATCAGTGCTGATAAAAATCCACAGAAGCAGATTTTGATGGAATGTCAGGAGTACCATGAGCAATAGGAACTGTCTGAACACAGACTGCATGGCCTCAAGAGGTGGTGAGCCTGCACTATAGACCATAGGCCGGGAAAATTGAAGAAGCAACACTGAAAGAAGCCCTTTGAGTGGGAGGTCACCCTACAAAACTGGGAACACCTGACCCCTCTGAATTGCCCTGACTGACCCAGTACAATATATCACAGTACAGTCAATACTCAGAGCATTCTTGTTGACCAGAGCTGGACTGAGACATGGTTCCTAATTATAAGGATGAGTAGAAGCACCCTGGACAGGCTTCCTGGAGGAGGTGCCCCTGACACCTCCCCTTCAGGCTCCCCCACAGAGCAATCACCCCACTCTTCACAGAGTACCACATTGAGCTGGAGTTCCAGGCTGAGGACACCTCCGCTGTCTAGCACTGGCAACAGCCTCAGGGCAAACACGGCTGGGCGCTCAGGTGGAAGGGCCACGCTGGGGCCAAAGAAGATGTAGAAGTGGACGGAGAAGGTGTCCAGCTCATTGCGCAGAGTCGGACGCACTGGCCAGCAGTGCTCAGGTGGGGATGTGGTCCCAGGCCCCTCCACAGGGGTCCCCAGGGATGGTGACTCTGGGGGCAGTGGCTGGTTGCCCAGTGACTGGGGCATGTTCATAGCAGCTCCAGGGACCAGGGCACGGGACAGGCTGGGCTGTGGGCACTCTGTGAAGCAAAGGAAAACAGAGCTGAGGCCTGTGGCCCTTGTAGCCCTGGAGCCCTACCATAAACCAGAAGTGAGCCAGACAGGATTTAGCAAAGGGTAGGTTGAGAACTAAATGTGATGTCCCTTGGCAGTGTGGGGCATCCAGGATCACAGAATAAGGCCCAAGGGTTTCCAAGTGGTCCTAGCTAATAAAATGTCACATTGGAGGAAAATGAGGTCATCTGGCCCTCCCCAAGGGCAGTGAAAATGCTGTTGAAATAAATGTTTCAACTTGCAGTGGGCTTTGGCAAATACAGTGTTCAGAAGTCCTGACTGTCCCTGCCTACCCCCAGGAAACTGAAAGAAAGATAAAATCAAGAAAAACAATTAGGTGAAGTGGCTCACGCCCTCTAATCCAGCTCCTTGGGAGGTGAAGATCTGGAGGACTAGGGGCAAAATACAAGACCCTATCTGAAAAATAGGGTTGAGGATGTAACTCAAGTGATAGTGGTATCTGCCTAGCAAGCATAAGGCCCTTTTACCCCAGTATTACCAAAAAAAAAAAGAAAAAAGAAAGAAAAAGATTGAGAGTCTTTAGTTGTCCCAAGTCAGGCACCAAAAAAACAAAAATAAAAACGAACTGAAGGTTGTCCGATGACTTGGAGCTCCAAGGGGGAAGGTAGCTTCAGGGTATGTGAAAGAGCCTAGGTAGAGAAGGGGATACTATAAGGACATAATAGAGGGTCACAAAACACTGCCATCCAGGTCACCTCCCAGCCGCAGATATTTGGGTGGCTGGTGCAGATGTGGGGTTTCTCACCTTGCAACCATACAACCAGCTGGAAGCGGATGGTCCTGCTAGGGCCACGGGATGGTGTCTCCACACGCATGTAGACCCAGTGCCCCCAGGGGGGCAGCGCCAGCTCCAACTGGCATACTGAGGCACCTTCACAAGCCACAGAGCTTGAGTTGTGCAGGGGTGGGGCCTTGGGACGTAGACGCAGTGTCAGGGGGCAGGCAGACACCCCTCGGCCCCCCACACATACCAGCTGCGCTGAAACCCTGTAAGTGAAGCTGGGTACAAAGACCCTGGGCAGAGGAGAGGTTGGGAGCAAGAAAGGACAGAGAGGTGAGAGGGACCCCATAAGGAAGGAAACATGAAGAAGAAGAAGAGGGTACAGGGAGGGGGTATGGGACACAGAAGGACAAGTGGTCTTTTCAGGTCTTCCCCTCTGTGTTAGGAGAGAGGAGGCAGTAATACAACCCACCCTAGAGGCTCTGAATCACCCAGCAGTTCAGTTTGGCTTCAGGGAGATCAGGACCAGGCAGGTGGCTAAGAAGCAAAGAGACCCTTGCCACCTGTTTAAGACCAGGAAGAGGGAAGGGGACAGGGTTGGGGAGTATTTGACTTACTTGTACAAGGTTGAACGATTGTGGGAAGAAAGGGTTTGTTCTGAGGGACGGCCAGGAACCAGCACAGCCACATCCAGTAAACGTCGGACAATTAGCTGTGGCTGAAGGAGGTATTGGCACTCATCCTGGAGACCCTGAGACAAAAGCAGGGGTAGCGGGAGGGGGAGAGAGAGCAGGGGTGCTACTAAAACAAGGCTAACAGAATCTGTTGAATGGGTTGGAAAGAAACTCTTCTGGCTTCCTACTCCCAGGTCTCTGACCATGGTCTCTGTAAGCTCTGAGCAGTCATTTCTGATCACCTCTGAACTGCCTGGTCTGCAAAGCCTGCTGTGGTCCTCAGCACTGAATAAGGTTTAGGGACTCAAGTCCAGGCCAAACTGACATCAGGCCCTGCTTGTACCTTCTCCCAATCCAACCCTACCTCTTGAGCATGCCTGGAAAGCCATAACCCCACATCACTGTCGTCTCAAAATCATCATCCCTCCACCAGAACACTGGCTGTGTTGGGGGAATTGGAAATTTCCTTCAAGACCTCCAGTCTAACCCTCCCACTACCACCACCAATCTAAATCCTTAATTGTCTTTATTCCCACCTTGTCCCCTCCCATGTGCTTGTCCAGCCTCTGCTCCAACACCCCAATGAGGATTACTCATTACATCCCAGGTAACCTCCAGGCTGAGAATAGGAATTTTGTCTTATTTTACTTTTGTTCCTCCAGATACAGACCTAGTGTGCACAATTCAGGATGAGTGCTTGCCAAGTAAATGAATCAATAAATGAATAGGCCCAGCTGGGGGCAGCTCTGACCTTTATGAAACCAAAACCTGTCATTTTGACTCCCCTTCCACTACTCTGCCCTTGGGACCCACAGATACACCTGCTCCTTCAACCTCAGACTGTTTTTTTCTGACACTGGAGGACAACAACCACATCCCCTAGGGCTTCTCTCATCTTGATCAAACTCCCTAGTCCCTTCTGCTCTTCTGTACCGATACCAGTTCCAAGCCCACAGAGCTCCATCACTCTTCAGTGAAACATCTGTTATAGTTTCTCTTCTGCAGCATTTTCAGCTATATAAGCCCTACAATCCTGTGAAGGGGCAGAGATCTCCTCATTAGTCCTCTCTAACCTACTAGAAAAACAGTAGAAACCATGACTCACTTATGTGGTTACTCTGACCATGACATACCACTAAGCCTTGCTCTTGGACAAAAGTTCCAGGCCCTCATCCATGCCATGGAACAAGCCAACCAAAGGCACTGACTTCCAGCAAAGCTCCATGAGGCTGGAAGGCAGCCTTAGTAGATGCTAGGCCAGAAGCTATTATTACCCTCTGCCTGGAATTTTTCCATGCCTGTTCATCATTTGCATACCTAGTGCATAGCACACCACCAGACACACACTAGGTGCTAAAAAAAATAGATGCTGTCAAGTTGAAGAGTGGATTGATCAAAAAGAGAGATCCTGGGGCTGAGGATGGGGTTTGAGTGATAGAGCACCTGCCTAGCAAGTACAAGGCCCTGAGTCCAATTCCCAGTACCACCAAAGAAAGAGAGAAAGAGAGATGTCCTTCAGAGAGCTCCTGAACTGACCTAGTTGCTCATAAATTTCCATCTCTGATACCCAAAGTGGATGCCCCTCATGTTTGGTGTCAAATCCTAAGGATCAGAAATACTCTCACAAGAGGTAGTGAATTTAGGATATATTATAAGCACGTTTGTAAATGTCACAATGTACTCCCAGTACAATAACATGATAATAAAAAAAAATTTTTAAAGTCATTTCAGTGACCTCATTTCCTAAGGAAATCCAAAATAATCTTGCAGTGAATGACTCCCAAGGGCAGGAACTTATGCTTAGGAGGTGGTTCATTTCCTTGCTAGATAGTCTAGGGGGATAAAAACACTGCTTCACATATTTCTTGCCACTGGATTTAGTAAAGTATCAGAACATGTGCCCTGTCTGGTTAAGATGTGCTCCTTCCTTCAACTGTAAAACATGCACATCCAATCCCCTATGTCAATGTGGACTAGAGACCAGGCAAGGTTCAGGGAAGCAGTAACCTCCCCCCTTGTGGTTGGGCAGAGAAAAGGCAACAGAAATCAAATCCTCAAGAGCTGCCAATGCAGAAAACAAGTGAGAAAATTTAAACTGAGGCAACAAGCCAAGCCAACATCAGCAGCCATGGAACGTATGGCCAAAGCAAGGAAGCCCAAGAAACCAGAGAGCCAAAAGTGAGAAGTGGATGGGAAAGTCCAAAAGATCCTGGAGCAGAAGGCAAGGTAGATGGATTCCTGAATTCGCCTCATATGGGTGGGCTGAGTTTCTTTTAAAAGTACCAGGCCCTGTAAACTAAAGATGGCCAAGGACTCTTGGCCTCCTTTGTGGAAATAACCCGGTACTCAACACAGCTCTCTTGCCCCAGTTGGTGCTCTCAATTGGCACCAATCAAAATAGAAGTAAATGAGGACAGGAGAGACTGCAGGGGCAGGAGTGGAAGCAGGGAGGCCATTTAGGAGGTTACTGTGGTGGTCCAGGAAAAAAGCTCAGGGAGGATGTGCTAAAATGGAAGTGGAGAGTAGATGCATCCAGGGCATGCTTTACAAGTACAGGCAACATGACTTTCTCTTTACAGAATTATTGCAGGGAGATAAGGGGAAAATAGGAATCAAGGATAAATTTGGGACTTGAGCAATTAATAGATGACAGTGCCATTTACTGGGAAGAAGACAACTATACAAAGAAGCTTAGACTGGGAAAAATGAAATTGGAATCAGAGAGTTTTTTACTTTTAACCTTGCTGTGATTTGTACATACTAAGCTTGAGACATTTCTAAGATAAGCAGTTGGAGATATCAAGTAAGCAGTTGCTTATAAAGTTTGAGATTCAAAGAAATTAGGACTGGCTGACTACTCTTAGCAGACATTAACTCATAAATGAGGGCTGGAGAGACTGCAGGGGGCAGGAGATAGCAAGCAAGAGAATGGAAAAAAAAAAGGACCAAGCATCAGGTCACTACAACATATACAGATCAGGCAGAGGAGATGTCAGGAAAGGAGATAGAGAAGAAGAAGTGGGCAGAAGAAAGGCTGGACAATGATGTAAAGTCAAAGGCCAAGAAGAGATAGGTCAGAAAGTAAAGACTAATATAAGGAGTTGGCTAACAGCTATTTATTAGCTAACTCTAGGCAGAGGAATTGGGAACTGGAAGGAGATGAAAGGAAGAAGACTTACTTTTCACTGTATGCCTTTTGTACTTTTCATATGTTGTACCAGATGCATATTATTACCTATTGGGAATATAAATAAAATAACTTAGGAGGAGGAAAAGCAGAAGAGGCGCAGATTTTAACTACTCCAGTTGAGATATTAAGTCATGCTTGTTCCTAATTGGTGGATTGAACAGAATCCTGTCTTCTATACTATCTACTTCTTTGCTTTCCTTGCAATAATTTTCATTATTTTACCTGTTTTATTTACTTTCAAATCTTAGACTGGGAAGAAGCCTTCGAGGAGAACCTGCACTCAGTCATTTGAGATAAATTTTTCCTTATGAGCCATTCTGATTTCAGCTGATATCCAAAACCCAAAGGCCAGCTGTTCAAGGCAGGCTAACAGCTGGACACCATAGAATGAACATATGCTTCAAGATAAGAAAGTTTGCCGGGTGCCAGTGGCTCACGCCTGTAATCCTAGCTACTCAAGAGGCAGAGATCAGGAGGATCACAGTTTGAGGCCAACCTAGGCAAAAAGTTCGAGAGACCCTGTCTCAAAAAAAGCTCATCACAAAAAAGAGCTGGTGGAGTGGCTCAAGGTGTAGGCCCTGAGTTTAAAACCAAGTCCATTAAAAAAAAAAAGAAAGAAAGAAAGAGATGGATACCGGGGGACAAGATAAAGGCAGTTTATAGGAAGAAGAGGACAGGGCAGGAGGAGAAATTAGATTGGTTTAGACACTGAGTTTGAAAAGGTGCCAGAAAGGCACCCCACTATGTGCTAGGCTTCATGATTGGTGCAAGGAATGTGTAGTGAATAATACAGACACAGGGTTTAGCAGAGTGTAGGACTGGAGTTCAGGAGACTGACCTGGACCTGGTAAGTCGCTTCCTTCTTATAATCTTGCCAGGTTCTCCATCACTCAGGACGGTTCAAACTTCTAGGCTTTTCATGATCTGGCTTCCACTCATTCCTCCACCTTCTTCACCCAGCCCACACTGAACCACTTTATTTCTCCACTCTGATCTTTGACCCATGCTACTCCCACCACCTCAAATGCCTTTCCCTGTCTTCTGATTCTCAGGCCTCACTTCCTAACAGTTTCTGAATACTATCTCTACCATATTACCAAGCTGTGTTAGCTATCTCTTCTTCATTCTCTTAAAATATCTCCTGTGTCTCACCAATAAACATCTTATTTATCTCAGTTTTTCCATCAACTAACCCAAGGCCCAGTACAAAGCAAGCGCTAAAAGATTAAGGGCTAATGGGAGATCTGAGCTCATCCCCAAAGTCGAGGAGAACTCCAGAAACTGTACTGCCTTCTTATCACTCTTTAGGCTCCACCCAAGGCTATTCCTGAACCAACATAACTTCCTGTGTTTTGCCAAGCCTCATAGGAAGTCAGAATAAGCGTGATACAAGGAGAACACAAGTTGAGAAGGTGGAATTACACATTGGACAAAGAACCCACAGACTTGAGTCTGAGAAATTGACCAGGATCTGAAGAACTTTAGCATTCTTAAAGGCCCATATAAGATTCCAGAAGGCAATCAAATTCTTAGAAGGACCCTTGTACCACTAAACTCAATATTAAGCCTAGTTAACAAGCTACATCTTCATGGTGTCCACACCTACTGCCACCCATGAGCAAGGTAGAACTGTGCCCTCTTCTTTTCCCTGCCTCACCACACCAAGTCCCCCAGACCCCACTTGTTATATGTAGATCTTCAGCTCCCTTTTGAATCATGCTTTAGGTTCTGAGAAGCCTTTGTACTGCTGTATCTGATTCCCCATTATCCCAATCTGGAAGTCGTAAGTAACCCTGACCACTCCCAGCCAGGCCTTAGCTCCTAGAATCCTAGCCCAGACCTAGGCTCTAGGTACCTCCTGTTCACCCAGAAAGGTTGTGGATAACTAGAGGTGGGCCCAAGGATTCTTCCCATCAGTTTTCAGAATTGGGATCAGGGGCAGACCTTGAGATTTGCCCAAAACCTATGAAGACAGTCCTCCTAGTAGAACCCTCAGTTTCAATGCACTAACAGCCTTTTCCACATCTCAGCATGATCTTATCCAGAGGGTTCCCAAGCCCTCTTGTACATCACTGAGGCCCTTGAAGACTACCTCAGCCCTTGTTTACATCTCTACCAACAGCAAGGCCAGTGACCTTGTCCCTGTGTGATTCTCAGCTCATTCAAAGTCATTAACACCTGCTCTGAACACTGGGCTCCAGCAGGAGGACGACAGGTACGACTGACACAAAGAGTCCCTGCCTTCAAGGAACTCAGCCTGGAGAGCTATACCCGAGTCCAATTTTCACCTGGTTAGGAACTTCTGCCCCTCTCAATTCTCAATGACCAAATCCCACTAGCTTTCTTGCTCTATAATGTCCTGTTCTTTAAATCCTTGTTCTGCTCATGATTGGTCCTTCTTCATTACCTAAGACCCTAAATGCATGGCCACCTCATCACACTTTCCCTCTCCTGCAATGAACAGGAGTAGGAAACCTACAAGATCCCCTCACTACAAGGAGGAAGCCAACTGACTAACATACAAGAGCAGCAGGAAAATATTATGGTGTATCCTTTCCCTAAAAATCAGAGAAGCATTCTGTACTTTGAACCTACCATTCAGACTTTAACCATCTTTGCACTATGAAATCATTGCTGATATTCACAGGAAAGGGAGGCAACAGTCAGTAAAGACACCAGCTGCTCAAAGCCTCCTTCTAATAAGAAACAGCTTTCTCTTATGGCTTCTCCTAGGGTGAAAGCATGATAGGATAGGAATGTATTCTTACATGGACTAGATTCAGGGGTGGCCTGAGAGACTTCAGAGCTATCATCAATAAAAATGCCTAAGACCTATGCTGGGTTTGTGCAGCAGATTCAACCAGTCCCTGGTTAGCTTCTGACCATCTTGATTAACCTAGTTCCTCCAATAGGAAGGAAGGAACACTATTCCCCATGCCAGTACTTGACTCTAGACTCTGGACTTTCTCTTCAGTTTACCCTGGAACCACTATATCCACCTAAAGTTCCCAGGTTGCCAGCTGCAGACTGTCCCACCAGGTGACCTCCTGGCCTCTAACCACACCCTTCCCCAGTCACCCGATGCTGTTGTCCATCCTGGTACAAGACTGGTGTGCCAGGTAGCCTGTGGGGAGAATTCAGCAGAAAAGGAGAGGCAGCTCTGACCCCTCCTGCCCCACACATCATCCACCCACCTTGACAGAGATGTGGCCGTGGGCTTGGGGAAGGTGGGCAGCCAAGAACCAGTCCCCAGGTAAGGGACTGCTGACGTTGAAGATGCCTGAGGTGCGGTTTGGGAGTGTCCAGCTAAGATTCAGTGAAAAAACCCCAGGTACAGCAGTATCTCCTGGGAAGTGTGTGTGCAGGGGATTGATGACAGGAGGTGCCCCAGACCGGAAATACCTGAGAGACCAGAATTAGGAGAGGAGTGGGGTGGGAGGTGGGAAATGGGGAAGAGAAAGGAGAACTGTCACTCAACACCAGTAAACCAAGTAGATTCCCTATATTAACACATACAAACAAGTGGTTCCATATCAGGGGTCAGGCCATAAGGGTCAAGAAGTCAGCTCAGAGGTTGGGCGTTGGAGGACATGTCTATAATCCCAGTTACTGGGGAGGTAGAGATTAGGTGGAGATACTGTAGGCCAGAGTAAGCAAAAAGTTAGCAAGACCCCATCTCAACAAGGTGGTACATGTCTGTAATCACAGCTCTGTGGGAGGTGTAGATAGGATGATCACAGTCAAATGCCTCCCAGGACAAAAAGCACAAGACCCTATGAAAAAATAGCTAAAGTAAAAAAAGGGTTGGGGGGGTGTGGCTCAAGTGATAGGGCACTGCCTAACAAGCGTGAGGCCCTGAGTTCAAACCTAGTACCACCAAAAAAGAAAAAAATAAAAGGTCAGGTCAGGCACTCACACTGTTATACAGTAGTCAGGAAGTGGTCAGATGACAGAGGTCATGGCCCTTGCTCAGTCACACTTTTATCTAGATAAGGGTCAAGGTCAGGGTTAGAAAGTAAATTTAGATATTCATAAAGTCATACTTTAGTTTGGAAAGTGACCTGAGATTGGAAATGGGCGTTGGGGAGGTAACTCAGACACTCACAAAGTCACACTTTGGTCTGGGCAGTGGTCCCCAAAGGTTCCCCCCTGCTCCTTGAAGATGATAAGGTTCCAAACAGCCAGGAATGTGTCTTCTGGAACATGGAAGTGGAAGAGCTCGGTGCTGGCAAAGGAGCGGAAAGGACTCAGCTTTCGGGGTGAGCAGGTGGAGTAATCAGTCAGGAAAAGGCCTCCTGGGAAGCAGGAGAGAGAGAAAGGAGTAGGGCAGGACAGAGGGAATTTCCATTAGGCAAAAGGCATTCCTGTCTCCCTCACCAACAGCACCAATTCAACAAACACACTCCTATGAGACAGGAACTAGGTCTGTGCTGCCCTCACCTGTTTAATCCTTATAGAGACCTTGCTTTGAAAAACAAAAAAAAAACAAAAAAACCTCATCTTACAGATAGGGAAACTGAGGCTCAAACCTATTCCAAGTCGAGGATGCAAAGCCAGACACTTGTATACGACCTCACAGCTGCCCCCTCACTTAGGAGTCAGCTGCTCTCCTCTTACCAAGCCTAACAAAACAGAAGTGTAGAAGGGTGTGTGTGTGTGTGTGTGTGTGTGTGTGTGTGTGTGTGAAGTGTAGAAGGGTGTGTGTGTGTGTGTGTGTGTGTGTGTGTGTGTTGGCATGGGCTCTAATGCCTCTAAGCAGGCTAGAACTCCACCTGTGGGGCTTGGGAGTCAGCATGGAACTGTTTAACTTCCTTGTTTATTTTCTGCCCCTTTCTGTTCCCCGGTGGTCAGGAGCAATAAAAACCCTCAGAAGCTTCACAAGAGCTGTCTGTGTACTGGCTCAGGGCAGAAGAGGGGAGGGGAAGGTGTGGTGAGGCTGCAAGGGGCCTGCTTGGGTGGCAGAGGCAAAAACAGGAGCTGGCAGGCCACCATGAGAGTGCCTGGGAAAGGAGAGTCATCAGAACCTCTAGGGTCAGAATGAGCTGCCAGGGGCGTTTCCCCAGAAGAAGGCCCAGTGAAGCAGACATTTGGTGACCCAGAGGAATCCCGGATCACTTGGGAACATTCAGAGCAGGCCAGGTTGGGAGGTAGGGAGAAAGTGGTCATCTCTAGCTGAAATGTTGAGATACCTGATCATGGCTGTCAGGAATAGAGCCAAGGTGAGCAGGAAAGTCATATCAGCACTAGCAGGCAAAAATATGGGGACTAGGAGGCAGGCGCTGGTGGCTCAGGCTGGTAATCCTCACTAACTGGAAGGCTGAAATTGGGAGGATCACAGTTCAAGACTAGCCTGAAATAATGGTTTATAAGAACCCCATCTCCAAAATAATCAGAGCAAAATGGACTGGAGGTATGGCTCAAGTGGTAGAGTGGTAGACTTTGCAAGTGTGAAGCCCTGAGTTCAAACCCCAGCACCATAAAAAACTAAACAAACAAACAAACAAACAAAAAAACCATGGAGACTAGGTTTGTTGTGGTAGTGAAAGTAACCCAGTAGCTCAGCTGAATAAAAGAGGGCCTTGAAATAAAGCTCTTGAAATTATGACTGCTCTGGGGACTTCAGAACAGCCCCAAAGGAGCCCAGGAACATGCCTTCAGGGCAGGTGAGGTGGGGAACTCAAGCATCTTTAGGACATAGTAGGATCCTGGGAAGAGGAGACTCTGGAGGGGGGTTTTCGGCCAAGTAGGAAATACCCAGCGGGCTTACCTAGTCTGATGACCTCCACCTCTGGAGATGGGAGACATAACCCCAAAAATGAGGTGCTTGAAATGACAGAGAAAGAGGCCTCTGGAAAAGGCTGACTGCTGAAGGAGTGAAGGCTATTTAAGTTGTCCACTAAACTGGGGCAACTTTAGGAGTCATGCTCAAGGAGGTACCCATAGAGATGGAGGCCACTTTGGCCAGTCCAAGGATTAGTCTTTCAGTTCTGACCACAGGATTAGTCCACTGTCAGCAAGGAAGCCCTGTCAACCTACAAGCTGAGCATTGCTCAGGAATCTAGAAAGGCTTGGCGCAGCACTCAGAGAGCAGTATAGATGCAACTAAGACAGATGACGGTTGATGGGACTAACTGATAGAGAAGACAAGACTTCCGAAGGGCCCTGGGAGGCAGAAAGCCAAGAGCAGAACAGCTTTGAATACCATTATTATATGAAGAGCTCTGGAGTGCCCTCTGCTGGTCCTAGAGAAGGGCTGCTCCTTCTCAAACCTGATATCAGGAAAGGGTCATCTATCTCATCAGCCATTGCTGTTGTTAGGAGACAGGTGGATCAGTCCTTCAGTCCTGCAGTGCAGACCCTTAGAGCTAATGTGAACATCAGCTACTGACCTTTTGGAAACATGGGTATACAAGTACAAAGAGCCCTGAGATTGAAAGGACCATGGATGGCATGGCCTGGAGAATTAAGGAATTAGCTTTGCCATTCTCAAAATCACCAGGGGCTATGGAGGTCACAGAACAGACTAGGAGAGCAAAGGAGTGAAAAACAGCTGGAAATTTTGGGAAGAAACAATAAAAAGTTCAGGGGCAGCCGGGTACTGGTGGCTCACGCCTATAATAATAGCTATTCAAGAGACTGAGATCAGAAGGGACACAGTTCAAAGCCAGCCCCTGTAAATAGCTCCCAAGACCCCATCTCCAAAATAACCAAAGCAAAATGGACTGGAGATGTGCGTTAAGCAGTAGAATACCTGATTCACAAGTGTGAAGCCCTGATTTCAAACTCAAGTCCCACAAAAAAAAAAATATTCAGGGGGGCAGATGCTAGAGAAAGGGTCCACAGCCCTATTCACACCTCAAGCTTTGATTTAGGGATTTGAATAGGGCCTACCAAAGCTGTGTCCCAGAGGAAGCATAGGCAAGCAAGGCACCTAGCCAAGCTCAGAAGAACTTGTGCTAATGTCCCTTCTGTGATGAAGCAAGGGTGATTCACAACCACCAGACCCAAACCATGCACACACTCAAGCACACGCACACACACACACACACACACAAATTGAGGCTGGCCCTGCCCCTAACAGCACTCGGTAGAAGAAAATGTCATTTCTTGAAATGGTAAGGCATACTTGAGTTATCAGTCACAGTCAGCTAAACCCAAAGAAAAGATCCAAGGATCAGAGGTGGTACCAGGAGACCTAGGAAGTAACTTCCATTCCTGAAATGAGATTGAAGTCAGTAATAAGCATTTGTGCAGCCCTATGCTATGATAGCCCTATGACACTGCCAGCCACTCCCCAGGCAAAACTAACTACCAACACTAGGTCACACAGCACCTTGCTGTGCCATGCCACAGTTGCCAAGGCACTATTAACAACACTCGTGGCCCTGGGTTTCTTCCTTCAGGAAACTGACTGGAGAAGGCTGGATTACTAGTAAATATTATGAGAGATACTCAACATTGCCTTCTTCCTAGGAACTACCCACTTCTGAAGGTAACACTTCAGTGATCTGTTCATAAGAGGAACATGCAAGACTGAAGAGGAATGTGCATGGGACCACACATCTCCTTGCCCTCACAAAATAAACTAGACACATCAGCTCTCCATACAACATACACGTGCCTACACTCACCAACACATAAGCATGTCCACACACTGTGCATGCCAGCACTCCCTCAGATTCCTGTTATACACACAAGCCTTTACATGCCCAGACATCTCTGCAGGGACTTAACCTTTGGCATACATTGATCTCCTCAAGCTCATACACTAAACCAGGCCCACTGAGATCAATTAACTCCCCTCCACTCCCAACCCGGCTGCTCCGTTGACTGTTACTGCCAAAGACTCTATCAGGCACAACTCCATCCTATCCAGAGTGCCACCCAGCAGAGATGGTTGGGGCTGAGGCAATGAAGATCAGTCATCTCACAATGGGGCCATCTGTGAGGGGGCCATCCCCCAGGCCAAGATCCCTTACTCCTCCCTCATTCCACCCATAAAGAAGCCGGACCTCTCCCTCTCCTAGCCAAGTGACTTACTGGGCTGGATGGTGGCCCTGGGCTGACACCTGGCAAATGAGAATCACTTCTTGGCCGTTTGGCTAAGATCAAGTATAGTACCTGGCAAATGAGAAACAGCTTGTGAATAAAGCCTCCTTGTGGGTAGAAAAGGGAGAAGTTGTGCTATGAGCTTTTCCCCACTTGGGCTTGGTTTTCTATAGGGCATAAATTGCAGTTGGGAGGAGTTTAAAAACCCCTTTTCTAGCCCCAGCAACTGCCACTTATAAAATACATGACCTTGAACAAATTTCTTCCTCACCAAGCCTCAGTTTCCCCCTCTGTAAAATGGCCCATGAGTTTCAACCCTCTCTAAAAGTATCAAGAATTATTCCTAAACCAATCAAGTTTATTTTGGAAAACATACACCACAGGAATCCATGTCTATCTGCAACATAACTGTCTGCTTAACTCTGAATGCATGCCCTGTATCTCAAAGGTTTAGGTCATATCTTCTCAGACTGGACTAGAGGTTTCTGGTGTGTTAATGTCTTCCCATCAAACTGAAAGCAGGAAGAGCAAAACCCTCAAGACTTCCCTGGGAAAGCCAGAGTCAAGTGAGGTCAGGATAGACACCAGAAAAGACAATCTTGAAGACTATCTTAGGAACTATTAGCCACCTGCTGAGCCTAAAAGCCAGTACCACTCTTTTGATGCTAACAATTCCACTGTGGTGTAAGACCTCTCTCCTCCCTATCTCTCCCCATTTTTCTCCCAGATCCCACCTCTCCTTAATCTCTCCAGCCCACCCCTCCCAGCAGCCTGGAACCCCATCCTTCTCTCAATCTTTCCTGCTTCTGCACTCACCAGCCCCTGGGCCAAGGACAGAGAACAGCAACAATAGCAATAGAGCTGGAGGCAGCTGGAGCCCAAACCTGAATCGAGGCTTGGAGAGGTGCAAAGTATGGGAAAAGCGGGTGGCCAGTGGGAGACAGTTGGATAAACACAGAGAAAAGGGCAGAGGCTGAGATAATGGGCTGGGTTGGGCTGAGCAATGGGGTTTCAACAAGGGCAGGGGGTGTGATGGGAGCAAGGGCTGATGTTGGACCGGGGGCTTAAGCAAATGGTGGGAATGCGGTGGGGACAGAGGCTGGACTGGGATTTGCGACAGGGGGTGGAAAAAGGGCGGAGGCGGGGATAGGGGCCAGGTCAGGGGCTGGGACTGGGACTGGAGGGGGGATATGGAGTGAGACCTGGACCTTGGCATTCGCTGGGACCCACGCCGGGGCTGGGACGGATTTGGGAAGCGGGGCGGGGGCGGGGCCGGAGGCCAAGGCTGGGATTGGGATAGGACGAGGGGCCGGGACAAGGGCTGGGCCATGGCCCGGGGCGGGGGCGGGGCCGGACAGGCCAGCGCGGGGCGCTCGCAGAGCTGACCCGCGGCTCCGCTCCCCACCCCCAGGGGGTGTCCTCCGGTGTCCTCGCGGGCCCGGGGCCGGGGGCCGGGACCTGGGTAGGAGTTCAGGCCTGGGCGACTCCGGGCTGCGCTGAACCGGCGATAACCAGGCCCCGCGGCGGCTACCTCGGCCTGACGTTGGCATGGCGCTCCGCCCCCTGCTCAATTCGATTGGTCCCTCTCGGTAAAGCCCGCCCCCTGCCCTATTCTATTGGCCTCTGATTTGGTCCTGCTGGGCTTTGAGGCAGACTCCGCCCCAGTCCCAGTAACCTGAGACCCTGTCTTTCTCACCCCGACTACAGTGCTCCAAAGACCCCTCAGAGCCTAACAGTCCCCACTGAATTCCCCGCCTTGTCTCATAGAAACCCTACAGAAACACTCACAAACCCAGACTCCCCACGGAGGTACCCACAATATCCGTTCATCCTACCCAGAGATTCACTTAACACCCCCAACCGAGTCCAATGCAGTCCCCTCAGGAAAACTCACCCACGCGGGAAGTGACCAGACTGCTGTTGCCACGGAGACTACTGGGCGTTCGAGTTGTCCTGGTAACCGCTCCCTCCTCTCCCGGCCCGGGTTCTAGAGGCTTCAGTCAATCCCCTCATCGCCCCTGGACCCTTCTTGTCCCTCCCCTCCCCTTTTCCACCCTTCTTCCCTCTCCCCCTTTCCCTCTCCCCTCCCCCGCTCCTGGTCAGTTCAGATCCTCTTTGCGAAGGCCTGCAGATATCCAAGTCTCCCCAAATAATAAAATTCCAAGTATGGCCTTTCACTTCTAAGCGCCTGCAGCCGGGCTCATTTACACCAAGAGCATTCCCTCCCATGGGACTAACACTTCCCTCTCCGAACTATGGCAAGATCCTGACCTAAGGACCAAGCCAAAGCTCAGAGGTATGTAACTTCTCCAACAGTCCTCTCTCCTACCCCCACACCACCCAAAAAAAACCTCAGCCCATTCCTCCTCTGAACACCTTCTGTCCCTCAGACATCCATTCCTACTTTTCATCCTGACCCTGCCCCTCACCCAATTCTCTCCGCTCTCTTTCCCTTTCCTCTCCTCCCATCCTCTGGTTCTCCACCTTCAGGTCCCTTTTCCCTCAAGTGTCTCTAGTCATCTTCCTCTACACCTCTGCCCCTACTTCTCTTCCCCAACTTCCCCTTTGCAAATCCTCTACTGAGTTTAAGAAACAATATATCTAGTGTCTGTAGAGCATTAGGAAAAGTAGGGAGCAGAGAAAAGTTAAGGTGGGACTCCTCAGGTGGTTGCACCTTGCTGGAGGTAGTGGTGTTCACGTGTAATCTCAGCACTTGGGAGACAGGCAAAAGGATCTTGAGTTTAAGGTCAGCCTGGGCTATATAGTGAGACCTTGTCTCAAAAAAACATTGGAGATACAGCTCTGTGGGAGAATGCTTGGTGGGTGACAGACCTTGAATGCCAACGCCAGTAAATTTGGACTTAATCATTTAGTTTGAGTCACTAAATGTTCTGCATTTTGGAAAGATCTTGATTGGATCAGGAAGGAGAAGTACCTTTTTGGACATTCTTCCAGGATAAATTAGGCATAGTCCTTCCCCACAGCATCTTGGACTTAACTTCAGCACAACAGCAACTCATTTATATTGTCACTTTTAATTAACCTCTCTCCCAAACTTAGCTGGGTCCATTGCTTAGCACAGTGCCTTAGTAAAAGTGTAATATTAGGCTTTTTGTGAAAGTGTAAGTTTAATAAATGAATGAAGAGATTAGTGAGTGGAAAATATGCTGCAGATGTGGTGGAGGGACAAAGTTATCACACAATCAGGCAGAAGATTATGAGAACTTGAACAAAATCAGAGGGAAAAGAGAGAGTGCATTAGGGGAATATTTAGGAGATAGGAAATTCAGTTCTTGTACCTATTTGAGGACTAGGGGCTAGGGAAGAAGTAAAAGACTAGGATAATTCACAGAGTTCAATTTTGATACCTGAAGAATATCTAGTTAGAAATGTCCAGTAGGCAGTTGGGTATGAGTGTAAAGTACAAGACTCTAAAGAGGTCTGAGCTAGAAATATGGATTTAGAAATAAGAAGCATACAGTTAAAAGCAGTTGAAGTCTTGAACATGAATGAGATTGTCAAGGGAGGGTACATATGGTCTCTAAGACACTACAGGCAGGGTCCTGCCTTATGCATTGTGGCATTCTCACACTCTGGGAAGTCATCCCCACCTTTGGCTTGGTATTCCCAGTCTTGGAACTCCATAGCCTGACCTCTAGCATCCTAAGACCTTCCCAGGACCCTGCCCTTGGACTAGCCAAGTAGCTATGTTCAGGCTCTCTCCCAGGGCATGGTCCTCTACTTCCATCTACAGATGGAATTCTACTTCAGTCTTTCAGTCGATAAGTTCCAGCACCCTAACAACCCACTGCAGCATGCTACATGAGATCTAGGCATATGAATGAGTCTCCTGGCATCACATCTTGGAGACTTAGAACTCTTCTTGCTTCCCTCTTGTGTCTCAGGTACATTAAGAACCTTATCTTAATCCTGTAACCCCCTGTAAACCCTGGACTCTGCCCTACCTTGAAGACCCTCTAATTTCAACCTAATGAAGCTTTGTACCCTATTCTACCACTAGATGGAAGCAGACAAGGTCACAGAAGAGCCTCATACTACCAAGGACGCAAAGGAACACCCCTCTTCAAAGGACCCTTCTGCTGAAGACTTACAGGAGCTCCCTATCTCTGAACCCCCCTTGGGTCCTTCCATCCCCCAGACTCTTTTAGAGCCCCAGGCCTCTGAAGCCCTTTTTGTGCCATCTTCCCAGACTCCTTTAGAAAGTCATGTCTCTGAGGGCCTCTTGGAGCCTTCTAGCTCTGAAACTCCTTCAGAGCTCCCCATTTGGTACCATCCACTTCTCAGATCCCCTTAGAGCCCCAAGCTTCTGAATATCCTTTGGTGCCAGCAACTTCCCAGACCCTATTAGAGCTCCAGACCTCTGAAAGCCCTTCAAAGCCCTCCATCTCTGCAATCCCTTTAGAGACCTCTACCTCTGAGACTCACATCTCTGAGGTCCCAGAAAAATACCTTTCTTCTCAGTCATCGTCAATTAGCAGTATTTCTGTGCTCTCCTTTGATGCTTTGCGGGAAGACTTCTCTGAGCTTTCTTCCAATGAAGTCCCACAGACAAGGTGGCCCACCCAGGTCTCTGAATTTGAGCACCTTCCAGAACATTCCCTTCCAGGACCTTCATTCCGGGTCCCCATAGTGACATCTTCAAAGCAGAAGGAAGAGGCAGAAGAAGATGAGCAGAGTGTGGATACCAGTGACCTCTCTGTTCACACAGCCCAGCCTGGACACCATCTGGGGAAAAAGAAGAAAAGAGTTAGCTGTAATTACTCCTACCTTTTCCCCTCTCGTGACTGTCCACTGTCCTTGACTTGCCCCAGAAGGAAGGGCCTGGGTTACTCTTGGACATGGCCCTTCTCTTAGTTTTAGGGCCTCCTCATTCCCTTCCCAGGTTATACAAGCTTCCCAGAGGTTCCTGCTAAGCAGGCAGAGCTAGTGGAAGTGTCTAAGGCAATGCAGAGGAAACGATTTGGTTCTCAGTTGAACCATCTTTTCCAATGGGAGAAGAATGCAATCCTGAATGCCTTCCAGACAGATAAGCCCAGGTGGCCTTTGAGAGGCCTGTAACAAGCCAATGGATATCTTCCAGTCCAACAGGATCTGGGAGGCTGCCCATCCAATGGATAGTGCCCTTTGTGGAAATGGTAATGCCACTTGCCTGAGATCTGGAAGGGGAGCAGACAGGCAGACCAAGGAATACCAAGATGGGTCTGAAAAAAGTGGGAATATTCAGATAAAACCCAGGTAGGGCAGATGACTCATTAAAATTATTTTAAAAGAAAAAAAAACACCAAGGGCTAAGGACCAGCCTCAGATCTAGGACCAAGATAACTCTCACCACACAGATTCTCAGGCAAAGAATGCCCAGAACCCTGGAAAGTCTCTGGGAGTCTCGTTTTGTTGTGGCAAAGGTCTTGGTCCCCTTGAAAGAATAGTATTAAAGGCTGTCATTCCTGAATGCCAGATCCACGATCACCTGGAATTCAAAATCTGGGTCTCCCCACTAAAGAGGAGAGCTGTGTTTTCATCTTCTAGCCCTGTTGAAGATAAAGTGTCAAATGTCAGCCCAGAATTAGTACTCTTTGACAGTCCTGTTAGTGGTACGCTGTGAATGTCTCTATAATGGGTGTGCAGATGAGCTGTGTGAATACTTACTTGCCACTCTGTGTGAGCATGTCTTCCTGTGTTACTAGACTTGCTATCTATAGGAATTACTAACCTGTTAGAGATTATGGGATTTCTAAATTGAATTCAATAGACATCATTACGTTTATTTTGGTCTTTCACACTTTCTTTCCCCTTATCATGGGAATATAACTATGTCAAAAAGCCTAGGATATAAAGACAACTAGTTAATTTTATATCCTTATCTTTCCTCTATGTAATTTACTTTCCCCATTCCCTCCTCCACCTCAAGCCAAGAAAGTCAATGATCTCTTTTGTTTCTCAGTTTTGATTCAGATATTGAAATGGCTTTTTTTGCTTATTTTAACATCTTCTTTTACTCTTGCTTATTTTCTTGCAAATGCAGGGTCTGTTTAGTCCCCTCATAGCTCTTCTTGGACCCCCCTGTCCAAGAAGAGAACTCCCAACTCTTCAACTCTTCTTTGAATTTAATGTCTTCATTTTCCTGGTTAAACAGGAAGTTTATATAGAAATGTGTTGTTCAATCCTGAATAAAGATATTTGGGGGTCTCCTTATAATGTTGAGGATATTGTGTCCATTGAAAGTCAAGACTCCATGACATCATACAGTAGATACAGAAATATCAAATGTAAGCTTTTTTAAAAATTTAGCAAACATTTATTGTGCGCCAATATGTGCTGAGTACTGAGTTAGTTATGGAGGTAGTAGGACTGGTAAGGTTCTAAAGACAAAAAACTCTCAAATAATTTGCACTCTAATGAACAACACCAATAAGTAAAAGGACCTTTATAATTCACTTTAATAATTTCTGTACCCAGAGTGCTACAACAGCAGAGAAAGAGGGCACCCTATCTTGGGTACTAGAGGAATAATAAGCTTTGGAAGGAAAGATTTCTCAGCTGATATCTACAAAATGGTAAGAAGAACTGGTTAACTCAAGAGTAAGAACTGCACGCCAGTGGCTCACACCTGGAATCCTAGCTGCTTGGGAGGCAGCCATCAGAATCTCGGTTTGAATCTTGGTTTGAAGCCAACCTGGGCAAATAGTTCATAAGACTATCTCAAAAATACCCAACCAAAAAAGGGCTGGTGGAGTAGCTCAAGTGGTAAAGGACCTGTCTAGCAAGCATGAGGCCATATACCACCAAAAAAAAAAGAGTACAGTAAGGTGAGAACAGGACAAAACAAGGTACCTTAAGAAATAATAGCAACACATTCTACCTGGTGCATAGAATGGTAGGAAGAGAAGCCCAGTTGAGTTCTGGAAGTACAAATGGCTCAGGCATTTTTGTTCCAAGCTAAAGAGTTAGGATTATATCCTGAGGGCTACTGAGAATCACCAAAAGATTTTAAATAGGACAATAACATAAACAGAGTCATACTTTTGAAGGATCTCTCTGGCAATAGAATAGACTGGAGAAAGACAAGATTGAACACAGGAAGACTGCACTGTGAGGCACTGGTAATAATCCAGGTAAGAGGTGTATGGGTGGAAGTGGAGAAAGGCGGGCAGATTCACAAAATGTTTAACAAGGTAAAGCTAACTGTTGAATGTGCAGAATAAGTAAGAGTGGAAAATGCCTGAAATGACACCTAGGTTTTTTGGCTTATGTAGTTGATTGGATTAACTGAATGCCAAAAACAGAGTAGATACAGGATATATATGTGTTGGATGAACAGTGGACAAGAGGGCTAGGTTTGGAGGGAATATAACACAGTTGAAGTGCTTATGGAACATGCTGGTGATAGAGTCAACAGCTGGTTATATGGGTCTGAAGCTCAGGAGACAGGTCTAGGCTGGAGGCATGTAGAGACGGCTGTGTGTTGTATGGAGATGTTCACATGCAAGTGTGATTATGCAATTATGGAATTGGATTATGTTGTACAAAGTCACAGTAGTGTGCCAAATAATGTCTCCTCTCCCTACCAGTCCTTGTCCACTCATAACGGGAAGGAAGTTTAAAATCAGTTGCAGAAAATGGAACCCACAGCCAGATACCTATTTTCCTACTTTAAGAGCATTGAATAAACAGTGGAACAGAGTCTGAGGTATTGTTGCCAGTCTCCCTATTCAAACTCTTTGAATGCTGGGCACTGATTCCTACACTAATGCTTAAACTTGACTCCTCCAGGAGTCAAGTACCTCTGTACCTCATCTGCTCATCCACTGTGTTCTGCTACACCAGACAGAGTTCAGAATTTCTGTAGTGCAGTCCTGGCTCCCACCCACCCCCATTGTGACTCTGCCTATACCCTGTGCTCTCAACCAAACCTCCCAGGTGTAATAGGGCCCTGACAGTACCAGCTTTCAGTATCAAGACAGAAGCAGCCAAGCCAAAAGCTACATGTGAATAGGCTTTAGATTCTGAGAAATGGGTAAGACAAAAAAAAAAAAAAAACCTGGCCTGAGGCACAGAACTGTGAACTGTGACCCTGGTCATAGTCAAAGACCACAGCACACAAAAAGAATTTCATTCTTTTCTTTTTATGGAACTTCAGGTGTTTACCTAGAATACTGGGTATCTCTTCTTTCCTGAAAAAATTTGCTCACTTGCCTATTCTGTCAAGGAGTCTATGTTCTCTGGGTATCTATTTTATGCCAGGCCCTATGCTAGGATTAGCGATATGGGAGAAAAGAAAGACCTTTCCCGTGAGGAGCTCACAGACTAACAGGAATACAAGTGAACAGTTTGTTACCATGCAGTAAGAGTGACAGCAGTAGCACAAGGAGCTGTGGAAGGCAACAGGAGGAGCCCAAACAGACTGACAGAAGTCAGGGGCAACTTTTTAGAAGAGGTGACATTTCAACTGAGACTTCAAATGGGAATAAGAGTCCTGCAGCTGCAGGTCCTATCCCATGGAGACTCAGGCAGGATTCTTGGCTAGAAGTTGGGATACTTTTCTCCTTTGGTAGAGAATAAGAAAATCTGAGTGGAAGGTGCCATCTGGTTTTCCTGCCATATTTACATAATACCAACCTTGCCTCTTGGTGAGACTGGCTATGAAGGTGGGCAGTTTCAGACTCCACTACTGAAACTAGGATCTCATAGGTTGTAATTTCCTGCTGGTGACTGCATTTGGGAATACTTACTAGCCTCATTTTCTTTTTCATGCCTCCTTTCCATGCCTCACAACTTGTATTTTTTGGTCTTCGCCAGTCATAACTTCTGACCTGCCCTTTTCTCCTGACCTTTAAGAGTACCATAAGCAGCTTTTCTCAAGAGTTTATAGAAGACATTAGTTCCATAACACCAAGAACACAGAAGGAAATGTATGAAGGTGCCAACCTGGAGAAGTGAGGGAAAGGCCTCCTTTTACCTGTTGGCCCCAGTTGTGCCAAAAATCCTCCTTATCCTCAGGGTCCTTCACTAATCTCCTTAAGAGCCAAATTCCATCACCTACTGTACACTGGTCAATCAGCTTCCCTCTTCCTCACCATAGACACTGCAAGGAAAATTGGATTCCAATGCAGACAGGGAAGGATATGAGAAGCCCCACAGCCTCAGAGAACTCAGTGAGATTCATGTTCATCTTGAAATAAAATTGCACCTATACTCTTCCTGTTCAGAAGCTGAAGACTATCTTTAATCATTTCTGACAGGCTATGAGAGATAGAGTGAATCCTGGGATGGGAAGGAAACTTAAGTCACTTATGGGGTAGTAAGAAAACCTTGAGGGAAAAAGTCTAAAGGACAAGACTAAGGTGAGGACTCCTGCATGTAGATAAATATGCCTGGGTGTAGAGGTGAGTCCCCTGACCCCATAGGATAGGTCAGAACACCTGGCAGGGAGCCAGGTGTTCTTTGTCATTTTTCCCTGTTAATCACTCCACACCTAGGTGTCTACATCAGATGGCGCTGTCCCCATTACCTCTGGGACTGTTTCCAGATTGGGGAAGAATCCAAGTGCTTTTGTGGACACCTGTTGAAAGAGCACCAGATCATCTCAGGTAGGTGCTAAGTGGCCAGCCTCTTTCAAGTATGGAGAGACAATTACACAAGGTCGTATCTTGGGATGTACAAGAGAGAGAGTGTTGGGGTGTGCATGTACTGGTGTGAGGGAGTGCTGGCATGGGAAAGCCAGGACCTATCAGGTCCTGGTCTAACTCTACTATTCATCTCCATTCCCCTAGACACATTTGTGCCCTGTACCGTAAGTCAGTGCCGCTGCCCCATGTTCTGTTTCATCCCATCTCGCCCAGAGGAAGTGGGTGAATTTTGGGTCAAGAGACGGGCCACCTTTGACCCCAAGGCCTGGAGGGCCCAATATCGCTGTAAACATAGCCATGAAGAGCATGCAGTCACTGGGACCCATCCCTGCAGGCATCATGGTAACTTCTAGTGCAAGGAGAGTATTGGGATGGGACGGGGTATAAGATTCAAATAGTTTGGGGATGAGGATGGAAAATAGATAGGTTTGGGTGTGTGGTTGGTAAGGAAAGATGAGACTGTAGTCAGCCTGTGGGGATGCTCCAATTCCCTATACTCTTCTTGGTTGTCCCAGGATGTTGCTGTAACTATTTTGAGTCTAATTTCCTCTGTGCGGCCTGTGACCGGTGCTGGGAGGAACATGAGACTTTCTTTGAGACACAGCAGACTCGACAACGAAGAGGAAAGCCTCGTGGTCAGAGAACAACCTGGGACAGGGGCCCATCCCAGCATCTATAGTCAGAAGCCCAGGCAGAAAGACATGCTTATCTGTCCCCTCTAGTCTCCTGCAGTTTACACACACATACATCCCATGTCTGCACTAGTTTCATAGGAGCAGACTATTTGCCTTTTGCATAGATGCCTAACCTCCAAGAAGCCATCCTCAGCAAATCTGACTGCAGGGCCCTCCAAATTCATGGGCTCCCTGGCTGTCCCAGTTCCCACCCTAGTCCCTCTGCACTCTCTGGCCCACACAGTCCCTAGCCTGGCCCCACATCTGATCCAATACCTGACCCTTTCATCTCTGCTCTTTCTTCTTCCAGGGTCAGACACTGTAAACAACTGGCACAGGCCTTTCTGAACCTGGCCTAGATCAGCAATAAAGTAGAAAGCACTAGAATCTGACCTGGCTCTGTATGGGGCAGGTAGAGCCAAAACTCAACTCTAAGACCTTAGAGTCAGCACTTACTGGGGTGAAAGACAGCACCAAGCAAGATCAAGGCTGCATGCAGCCATCTGCCTCCATCACGGCCACATTCAAGCTGCTGGTTCTAACATCAGAAGGAGAGTACCACTGGGCACTGGTGGCTCACACCTGCAATCCTGGCTACTTGGGACGCTGACATTGGGAGGATCAAAGTTCAAGCCAGCCCAGGCAAATATTTCACAAAATAACAGGAGCAAAATGGACCAGAGGTGTGGCTCAAGTGGTAGAACACCTGCTTTGCAAGTGCAAAGTCCCGAGATCAAACCCCAGTCCCACAAAAAAAGAAAAAGCAAAGTGGCTTTAAGAAGGAGCTGGACATGGTGGCACACACCTCTAACCATAGCACTGGGGAGGCTAAAGCAAGAGGAGAAAGCCAAGGAGGGAGGTGTTCCAACAAGGATATAGTGGGAGCTACTTGGAAGGCTGAGATCAGGAGGATCACGGTTTTAGACTGGCCTGGGCAAAAAAATTGTTAGACTCCAATCTCAACCAATGGCATGTGCCTGTCTTCCTAGCTACACAGGGAAGCTCAACTAGGAGGATTGCAGTCCAGGAATAAATGTGAGACTCTGTCTCAGAAATAACCAACGCAAACAAAGGATTGGCAAAGCAGCTCAAGTGGTAGAGTGCCTGCCTAGCAACCATGAGACCCTGAATTCAACTCCTACTACCACAAACATACACAAAAAGAATAGAGTAGACAATGATTTCAGAAGTAGCTGGAGCATCCATAAGATAAAGATTTAAAGTACCCTTTGGATTTTTCAGTTAGAAGGTCTTTGGGGACTTCAAAGACTGCATCATACTGGTGCAGCAGAGGCAGAAGTCAACAGCAGTGAGTGTGAAGGAGTCCTGTCAAGAAGCTTGGATGAAAAGTACAGGACATAAGCCAGACAATATTCAGAGAGAGATGTGGAGCCAAGGAACCAGTTGTTTTTGTTTTGTTTTGTTTTGTTGGTGGTACTGGGGTTTAAACTCAGGGCCTCACACTGGCTAGGCAGACACTCTACCACTTGAACCACTTCACTAGCCCATGGAAGCAGTTTTTTAGGTAGGAAAAGGGAAAGAGGCCCATGGACCTCTTTTAAAAAGACCTTGAAAGATGCAGTGGAGAGAGGAGAGATACTTAGTGAGACAAGATCCCAGAGATGGAGGGAAGTGATGAGGTCAAGGCAGAGGTGAAGAGATTTGCTCTATTCAAGAGAAACATCACTTCCTAAGATCAAGAAAAAGGAGGATGGAGTCTGTTGTGCTTCAGGGAACAGGACTTTATGGAAATTCTGATCTGATGGCATATATATATATATATATATATCATTTGACATAGGAAAGGGAATAGGGGAGTAGGCGATGGAAGAGATAGGCGAAGGTTTAGGAAGGCTAATGTGGGGAATTGGAGAAAGTCCTGATTGGTGTATAGTTTAGGATTCAGGTACAGTTGGAAGTGAGAACCCAGTTAGAGAAGAGAAGCAAAATATTTAGATTAATGGGTGGTGAGAGGAGGGTGTCAGGAAGGATAATCAGGAAAGTAAGGCAAAAGAAAGAGATATGAAGCTATGAAGGGATTGAGCAACTCAAATAAGGGAAAGAAAGTATGCCAGAAAACAACTGACAGGTTGAAAAAGGGAGCAGTCAAAAGACTAAGTTTCTAAGCAGGTTCAGTGGCAGATGTAGTGGCACGGATTGAAGTACAGGAGACAGTGGTCAGAACCTGCAAAGCACTGCAGCCTTCAGATGAGAGTAGCTGCAGAAGATTGATGAGTGCTTGAAAAAGACTGGGAGCCAGGGATCAAAACCATGAATGTCAGGGAGGGACAAAGCAGCTCAGAGGTGATTCCTCGGGAGTAGGAGAGTCTGACACTGATGGGCTCCGTGATCTAGGGAAGAACTTTCCTTCTTTGGGCCCCAGTTGTTGGATGTGTAAACCAACCTGCTATCTATGAGATCCCAAAAAAATAAACAGTTTCAAAGTGCTTTGTATTCATTAACCATCCAAGCTGGTTTCCCTCCTCTTCTAGATCCCAGCCTCACTTATCTCTAGGGTCTCCCAGTGTCTCAAACTGACAGAGAACTGAACCTCTGTGGCACAGAGAAGAGGCCATACTACTGTCCTCATTTAGGGAGACCATCTGTCCTTGCAAGGGAAGGAATGCAGTCTGGACTGCTAAAGACCCTGGGCAAAATTGCAGGATCAAATGTCTGCCCTTTGAAAAAGAGAATACTTTCTAACAATTATGTAGCTATATAAAAGAGTTTGCACTAAGTTTAGAAGTAAAGAGCTTCTCAACACTAGTTATACACACCATGATAACCATTCACCTAAAATCAATCCAATTAATAGTCAACAATAGAAGAGTTACTATAATGAACTTGTTCAAGGAAACAGCAGCCATTACAAAGTGTTTTTACATATACTATGTAATAATTTGAAAAACTATGAAAATAATAAATATGTCATGCATATTACTGTATATTATTAAAGGAAATGAAACAAATACCACATGTTATTCATTCAACAATTATTGAGTACCTATGTGTGTCAGACCATTTGCTTAAAACAAACAAACAAACAAAAACTAAAGATAAGTGGTAACTTACCCTGTGTTAAGCGTCAGACTAAAACTTACCTGATTTCTGAGTAATTTGTGATACATTGTTTCTTACATAGAAAACAAAAATTCCAACAGAGCAAACGTGGTTCACTGAAAATGTCAGGCACTAAGCTAATCGTATCACACCTTTTCTTATTAAAAAGAACATGGGATACATACTCCTTTGCAAAATTAGCAGTGCAGCCAACATAGAACACTCCCATCCTCACCTGTTTAAAAAAAAAAAAACTAACCTGAAAATTGCATAATATTTAATCAATGGAGTGAATGTGTTAAGAACATAAAATTAAGGTGGCATTGCCCTTTAAAACCTTTGAAATAGCCAAGAGGTTGAAATTGCCCTGGAGAACAGGCTAAGAGGTATCACCCCTTGGTTGAAAGACTCCATCCCAGTTCACGTATAGCCCCGCCCAGGTGACCCCTGGAGCCAGTAAGTGCAGAACGCCCTCAGAACCCCGCCTTCCTCCTGGCCAATGCAGTGAAAGGATCTAAACTGCATTTAGCCCTTCATGCAGCAGGTGACCGGGCCCCGCCCTCTTCCTCCAGCCCACCAGTAGGGGCCAGACCTGAAAAGGAGGAGCCAACCACGTGAAAGCCCCACCCATTCGGGGATCCGCAACCCTAGTCTAGCCAAAGTTGTCAATGAGATCCACCTAGAGAAATCCAGCCCCAGGTTTAATCACTCCAATGGAGTGGAAATTCATCTCAGCGAAACTAGGAGGGGGATCCAAAGGAAAAAACTTTCACGTTGACTCGAGGAAGAAACCAAGGGAATGGAAAAATCCTGCGTTGACAGAAGCAGCCAATGAGATGAAAAGATTCCACCTCTAAAGTGGCGGTGGAACCAATAGGGTGAATAGTGCCCAGGAGCGCGCTACAATGGGACGGCAGGGCCCGCCTCCGGCCGCGAGGAGGGCCAATGTCCTCTGCACTCCTACTGCGCGATTGCCCACCCCTGGCTGGCGACAGGACAGAGTACTCCTGGAAGATGGCTGCGGCTGTGGTGCGAGCCGCGGTGTTGAGAGCCGTGGCGTTCGCAGGGCTCCGGGGGGCGCAGGTGAGAAGTGACCACGGGGACTAGGAAGGGGCCCGCAGCCTCTGGCGCGCTTGGGGGCCGGGGGCCGCGCTGCTCGCGGCTCCCGAAGGCTCACGCAACTCTGAAGCCTCGCGAAGCTGCTGCTCCTCCCCAAGATCAAGCCCTGGGATTGTGCGGTGAGGTCCGATTGGCGGTCACCGGAGAAGCGAAATAGCAATGACTGCCTCTCTCCACAGGCCAGGCGCCGAGGTTGGGACAGGGTCAGTGTAGCGGCTGCTGCTCTCGCCTGTCTCAAGTCCTGCTGGCCTGGCCCCTACTCCCGGCAGCCTCCTCAGTGCCCCCTGCAGGAATGAAGTTTTGTCTTCTTGAAGCCAGTCCTTTGCCCCTCTCGGGCCTCTGGCCTTCTGATGAGCACTGGTGTTAATATATTATCTTCCCCACTTTCCAGAAGCCACTCGAAGAGTCAGAGCCTAATTCATCCTGCCCTTTTTCTCCCAATGCCTAACTTCAGTGCACTGACTTCAGGCTTTTTTGAGCACGTGGGAAAGTGGGACAGCCCTACCTCCAATCCCTTTGGCCTGGGGGAACTGAGTTCACTTAGCTGAACTCTTACATAACTCCACTAACTCAAGCTAATGGAATTAAAATCCACAGTAAGAGGTTTGACATGAAACCTGGTGGCGGGATCACCTGGTGACAAACAGGGCAGATTTATTAAAACCTAAAGAAAACAGCTAATGGCCTTATAGATCAGAAAACATGTAATGGAAATAGGTAAAAGTAAACAGAAAGAACTTCAAGCTCTCTTAAGATGATGCAAACTGGGCTGGTAAAGTGGTTCAAGTAGCAAGTGCAAGGCCCTAAGTTCAGCCCCCAATACCACAAAAAAAAAAAAGGAAAAAAAAAAAGATGACACAAACCACCCTTTTATATTTGAAGCTGGCAGAGGGATTTAGCTGAGGTAATTCAGTGGTGATAAAGGAACTGAGGCCTCAATCTTGAGACTCCCATTCTGGATCCTTTTCCTGAACTGTGCTAGATTTCACAGACATAGTAGCAGGAATCAGTTGCACTCCTGAATCCTGCATAGTAATATTGCCTATTACCTAAACAGGCCCAGTACCATCTGGCCTACCCTTTGTTGCAGACGCTCTGAAATTCAGGAACTTTTCCCTTTGGGTAAGAAGGATTAATAGGAATTTTATTGTATTTATTTATTTTTGGTACTGGAGTTTGAACCTAGGACCTCATGTTTGGTAGGTAAGTGCTTTACTACTTGAGCCACACCCCCAACCCTTTTGCCTTTTTGTTATTTTTCATATAGGGTCTGAAGCTTTATGCCTCAGACCTTGATCCTCCTACCTCCACTTCCTGAGAAGCTGAAGCTAGAGGCATGTACCACAATATCCTGCTGGTTCTTGAGATAGGGTCTTGCTAACTTTTTGTAAATGGAGATCCTCTTATCTCCCCCTCCCAGGTAGCTGGGATTATGGTGTATGCCACCACATCTGGCCCCACTAATAGGTTCATAAAAGGATGAAGTTAATAATGCTTAAAGTCCAGTTTCTGCCAGCCCCAGCTGAATACATGGAAGAGGTGTTGCCAACTCTCTCACTGGGGTGTGTCTGACCCACTTTCAGGTCCGGAGAGCCTCGGGTGTGAGTGATGAGAGCGAAGTGGCTAAGGCGCAGAAAGCAGCTCCTGGAGGAGCAGCACCAACCATCTTCTCCCGGATCCTGGACCGAAGTCTTCCAGCTGACATTCTGTTTGAGGATCAGCAGGTGGGGTCCCCCTTAGGGCCCAACCCCCTTAAGAATTTCGTAGATACCATCTGGCCTGATGAAGTAACATGATGGTCTCTGACCTGTAACCACTCCCAGTGTCTCGTCTTCAGTGATGTGGCCCCTCAGGCTCCTGTGCATTTCCTGGTCATTCCTAAGAAACCTATTCCTCGGATTAGTCAAGCCGAAGAAGAAGACCAGCAGGTGGGAAAAACAAGGCCAGGGGTTGTCTGGGAGGATCCCTGGACTAAGCTAGAGGTTTTGCTTCCTATGAATGAAGCCACCTATGCCCCTCCCCAATCCCCTGTAGCTTCTAGGACATCTTCTCCTTGTGGCCAAGAAGATAGCAAAGGCTAAGGGCCTAGGAGATGGATACCGACTTGGTGAGTGGACTTTGGCCCTTGGGCTCCTGTATGAATTTCTGCTCCTCAGTATGACTTTCATTCCTTGACATTTCCCATGATCCTGACCCCTAATCTCAAGCTCCATTTCAGTGATCAATGATGGGAAGATGGGCGCACAATCTGTGTATCACCTGCACATTCACGTGCTTGGGGGCCGGCAGCTCCAGTGGCCTCCAGGTTGAACCTGCCAACTGACCAAGGACCCCCAGACCTGGATGCTTGGATGGGGAAGGGAAAAAGGAAGCCCATGATGCTAATAAACCTCCTCTCTGTCAATTTTGCATCCTTGTCTTAAATATATGTAAGATTTATACCATGAGGGAAGGACGGTTGAGAGAGAATGATGGAGGGGGTGAATCTAATGAAGGTACATTGTAAGCACGACGAAATCCCCCTGTACAAATAATATATGCCAAAAGATGTATAAAAAGATTTACACCCCAAAGGAAAAAGAAAATTGATTCAGAGCTATGATCCTTTGAAAATGGTCAGAGTGAGACACAAAGACCAGCTCTGTAAAAGCACTTTCTTGCGGATCTGCCTCATGTCTAGTGGTCCACCCTGGGTCAAGTTTCTAGTAGTAGAAATGAATACTGAATGTAGCCTGAATGAGTAGGAAGAGATTGAAACCCAAGTGTAAGGTTTGCACAATCCTAGACCTCATTCAGTGGTCTAGCGAGAGGGAGGCCCTAAGTTCAAACCCCAGTACCAGGCTGGCAGTGCGGCTCAAGTGATAGAGCACTTGCTTAGCAAGCATGAGGCTGAGTTCAAGCCCCAGTGCCGCCAAAAAAAAAAAAAAAAAAACCAAAACTCACCAAAAACAAAGACCATACCAGATTCTAAAGGGGGGGGGGGGGCTTGAGAGGAGGGTGGTCAATTCAAGAGCCTTCTATTGGCAGAGAAGTAACCACACCACATACAAAAAAGCTGTTCCCTATATGCTACTTCATTAGGTCTCACCGTTTTGCTTTAGCTATTTTATGTTTTCATCAAGATTTCCCCGCTCTTTGCAAGCATGAGGCCCTGAGTTCAAACCCCAGTACCACCAAAAAAAAAAAAAAAACTTCCCCACTTCCAACTTTGAATAAGAAAACTAAGAGGAAGCTACTGTTGCTCCTCCACAAACACAACCAAGTAGGCTTTTAATGCTACATAGCCTTGTAAAGAACCACCTTAGCCACAAAGAATCATGCTTGAGAGTGGAGGACAAGGTCTACGGACCAGCGGAACCTTCAAACTCTGGCTGCGGCAGAACCGAGTCGCGATGGGATGCGCACCAAGTTTAAGACTTCCGCCCCGCAGAGGGCTAACCTCCACCCCCACCATCCACGTCCGCCCAGCTCTGGTTCTGCGCAGTCTCCTGGAGTTATTTGCCGTCTCTATGGCAACCCGGTAGCTGGAGACGGAAGATGGAGACCAACGAGTCTTCGGAGGGATCGCGGTCGTGGTAAGAGCCGCAGGCGTAAGGGGACAAGGAAGGTCAGAGGACTTCCTCTGCTGTGCTTTTGACAATCGTGACGCATTCGTTTTCTTTCAGCTCCTTAGACGTACAGCCCAGCTCGGAAGGACTAGGAACCACTTCCCAACCGTTTTCTTCTTCAGGCGGCAGTGCTGGGTCTGCCGCTGCAGCTGCCTCCACGGCCAGAGCGGCTGCATTGTATACAAAGATCCCAGTGCCCTATTCTGAGTTCACAGAACCCTCCTCTGACAGTCTTCTTGGGACAGCCTATCCCAGATCCCACCACATAGGCCATGGGAGTCTTGGCCTTGAACCCTTCTATGTTTCCTGTGTTGGTGGGGATCCCTGTACTACAACTGACCATAGCTCTAGCGCCGGCCCTGTAACTGGATCCAGCCCCGGTGTCGGCCCTTACTCTGGTCCAGGCCATGGCTCTGTCCCTCACGCTGGCTCTGGTACTGGCCGTGGCTCTGTTCCTTGCCGTGGCTCTGGTCTTGGCCATGCCTCTGGTACTGGCCATGGGTCTGTCCTTGGCTCTGGTCCTGGTCTTGCCTCTGGAACTGATCCAGGTTCTGGTCCTGGCCCTGGCCCAGAGCTCAGTTTCAGCACTTCTCAAAGGCTCAAAAACCTCAAGCCAGATATGCACCCTAATTATACCTCCTGGTGTCATCACTGCTACTCGGAGCCTCAGAAACAACCACGCTGGGAATTTTTACAAATCTCAGAACCTGGTACCCGAGGAATATGGAAACCCCCAGAGGTTGAAGGGAAGTCTAAGTTTCTCCATGAAACATTGCCACGGGGACAGTGTCTCCTCTACAACTGGGAGGAAGAGGTATTAAGGTTTTGGCCTACTCCCTTTTCAGGAATGTTGACCCCAATTTCCTAGGGGAGCCAGTAGTTTTTGATAAGGGTGGGTACCAGAAAGGAAATCATAGTAACTCAACTTGGGACCCACAGAGAGCCACCAACCACCTGGATCAAGTCCCAAAGTCACAGGATGGCTCCGAGAGTTTCTTCTTCCGACATGGACACCAGGGACTGTTGACAGTGCACCTACAATCACCCATGCCCTCCAGCACCACCCAGAAAGACTCATACCAGCCCCCAAGAAACCTCTGTCGGCCACTTCGAGGTGTGAATCATCAAAGAGAAGGCCAGAATGAGTCCATTAGGCAGAGAAAAAAAGAGAGGAAGGAATTTCTCATGGGACTGTGGATTGTTTGAAAAATAAGGGCAAAACCCCAAGATTTCCCTTCCTTCTCTCAAATTTATTTCTCTGGGCCTGATTCTTAATCAGACCTTCACTCTGTGCTCCCACAGGGAAGCGTGAAGCCATACTGGAGATGCTTCTGCACAACCAGATCTGGTGAGAGCCTGGGAAAGAGGTGTGGGGGGGGAATAAACCATGGATATGGCCTTGACATTACCCAGGGCTACACAGTAAAGAGGTTCTGGAAGAGCAGGAACCCACAAGGAAGCTCTTTGAAGTCGAGTCAGTAACACACCATGACTACCAAGTGGAGCTGGTGCAAGCAGGGCCTCCAGCCCCAACAAAGGTGAGAACCTATCCCACTCAACTTGCACACCTGGGTTATGACAGGCAATGGGAAAGCAAGAGGCTGAGAAGTTGAGAGAGGGCCAGAGGCCAGGAGTTTCTCAATATTTCTCCCTCACAGCCTCATGACTACCGCCAAGAGCAGCCTGAAACCTTCTGGAAACAGAATGCACCGCAGTTACTGGTGTGTGAGGGTAACTAGGTGTTGGGGGTGGGGGGAAAGAAAGCAGATCAGAGGCTATTCTATTCTGGCTTGGGAAAGGATGGGATCTGTCCTCAAACGGGCATTCCTCCAGGGTGTCAGTAACATCAAGACATGGGACACACCATTCCGGAAGAACTGCAGCTTCTCAACACCAGTGCCCTTGTCTCTGGGGCATCCTTTGCCCTATGAATCTGACAGTTACTCCCACTGATTGGGAGAAATGTCTTCCCTTGCCTGTCAGGGAAGAGGCCAGGGGAATCAAGGGGGGTAAATGACTCCTGTCTAAAGGTTAAGGGGGGAAGTGGATATGGAATTTGGAATCCTGTTTCTGTTTGTACTAGAGAGGTGAGTGGGGAGAAAGTTAATTCTCTCTATACTTGATGGAAGGGCTTTATATAAAGAGTTCTTCCTCATCCTGAGACTGCTAATTCACTGAGTTACCTTATCCATAGCCAATACTATGACACCATGACTTCTTGTTGTTCTTTTATACTTGGTCAAAATATTCTGGTCTAGATACAGATATTTACAGAAGGCAGGGAGGAAGTGGACCAAGCCAGAAAGGGTCAGGTATATGTACAAGGCTGAGTTCAGAGGGCTACAACTTTCATATAAGGTAGGTTTTTTGTGCACACTTTCCATCTGGTGTGACAATGTCTCTTTCTGGTGTGTGAAGAGATGGTGGCCACTGCCCACCCAAGTACCAGCAGCAGGAGATTGTCTGACTTGGGAAGAAGTGAGGTTTACAGGAGTCCAGGAGGTCCTTTTCGCTCTCCTAGGAGCCAGTAAGTTCGCATCTTTCCTTTTCCCTGGAAGCAGGGGAGTGAACATAATTCAGATTCTTCTGTGTTAGGCACTTTATCTCCCTATCTTTCCCCATGAACCCCACAATCACTTGCATCCTCCCTTTCCGTGACCCTCCTCCCCATGGCCTGCCATCACCTTCATCTCCACATCCCCCCGAAGCTCTAGTTGGAAGCATCCTAGCTCATCCAGAGCATCCTTGGTGGTAGAGGAGACATGGATCTTCAGGGCTAGGGTGGCATAGAGGAATGGCAGAAAGAATAGTCAAAGAAAAGGCAACAGAAGTACTGGAGAGTGCTTTACCCAACCAGCCTCCCCTCAGGAGGCTCCTGGTCCTCCCAGTGCACATTTACTAGAACCAAAATATGTCCAAGAATGCAGCATTTAGGAACTGTAGTTTCTCAAATTAAGAGATTTGGAGAAACCCAGAGCAGAAGAAAGGAGCAAGATAGACCCAGACCGAGGCTGTGGTTGAAGGCTAATTTCTCACCTTGACCATTAGACTCCATTCTAGAAGCAGTGTTTACTGTGTCCCCAAAAAGACAATAGCGGGGCATCTTCAGGCCAACAACCCCAGCACAGACTGGCCCTATGAAAAGAAACAGGTTGGGAGTGCCTGGGAAAGGTGGAGCCTAGGCCTCCATAAAAGTCGTCCTTACCAGTATGGACACCTATGCGTAGCCTTAGCTGGTCATGGGGTCGGTGGCGGATGCGGAAGGAAGACACTGCATCTAATAATGCTAGGGCCATCCGAGCAATTTCTGGTGCATGGCGTTGACCATTTCGACCTGGGAGGCCAGATACGACCATGTAGGCATCCCCAATTGTCTCCACCTGATTAAAAAGGGTGGATTAAAAGGTCACCTCTAGAGTAGGAATGGGAAAGAGCACAGGGGGACAAGCTAGATAACACCAGGAGTCATTCTGACAGCCTGGGAGGCCAGAACATTGACTAGAAAGTAGGTGCCACAATTCTGATAATCAGGGAGGAAGGGGAAGCCAGAGGAGTCTTTAAATCCTCCCTCTCCACCCTAGCTCCTGCGAATACTCAGTAAACATTTACTAAATGAGTGGACATCCTAACTGCAATAGGACATAGACAAATAGACTCTGCTGTCAGGAAATGGGAAGTAAGAAAACAAGCTAAACTGAGGAGCACAGAGGCCAGTGAGATAGCCCCAACTGTCAGAAGGTGACTGCTACTTGTACCAAGCTGTGTAAGAGAATGCCCTTTACTTCAGGAAATACACAGTGAAATATTTAGGATATACATACTAAGTATTTAGGGGTAAAGGAACACTATATCTAAAACTTTCTAATGATATAGGTTGATTTTTTTTTCTCCTCAAACTGAGATCCTACTGATCTCTGCCTCTATAATAGCTAGGATTATAGATATGAGAACCATTGGTGCCCAGCTACATAGATTTTTTTTTAATGAAGTAAATAGAGGAAAATAAAAATAATTGAGGAATAGGATTTTTTTTTTTTTTGAGTTAGGGTCTTGCTGTACAGTGGGCTAACCTTGAACTTGCAATCCTCCTGCTGAAGCCTCCTGAGTGCTGGGATTATAGGCACCAAGCCTGGCAGGAATTTATGTAGTATCTGCTATGTGCCACACACAATGTTAGGCACTTTCCATATAACCTATTCTTAAAGATAAAAGCAACTGAGGCTCAAGGAGATCCTGTTACTTACGCAAGGTCACACATTTAGCTACAAAGCCAATATTCAAATTCAGCACATTCTTACTCTTAAAGACAATAAAGCTAGCCCTCTGCCAATTCAATGACTTCAACAAAGAGCTTTACAACATTTATTCATTTCTTGCCCTTCACCCCAGTAAATCAATCTGTACCCAGCAATATATACCTACATCCTGCATGATTCTTCCATGTCTGGAGGAGAAAGGAGAAAAATGGATACACTGTATTTATATCCCCCTAGGAGATAGAGGCTAACACTGATTAGGGAAACCTAAGGATTCACAGTAATTAGATCAGAGTGTACAAACACAATGCTGGAGGCTACAGCTATCTACAAAGTGTACTCCAGCACTGGGATGCTGGAGACCCTGGAGGGAAAACTGACCATGGAGTGCATAAATTATGTGGGGATCTAGGAGACTTGATTTTTAAAGGGTCTTGATAGGAGGGCAGTCCCAGCTCTCACCTTGTAGACATCAAAGTTGTCAATTATGGCATCAAAGCAGGTATACAGGTCATTAAGAAGTGTTACCACCTAATAGAGGATAGGAAAACAGAGGCTCTAAAACCTGTGCCCAACTTTCTAAGAATTCTCAACCAACAAGCCATAACTATAGGAATTCTAGAACAAACTGGTCTTTCCTATTTCCAGTGAACCTCCTAGGTCCCTATCCCACTCTCTGCCTCTCACTTATGACTCTCACCTGCATGGGGGTGCTCTCAGCTGACAGTGCTGTAAAGCCAACGATGTCACTGAAGTAGATGGTAACACTGTCAAAGGCCTCTGCCTGTACAGTCTCTCCCCGTTTTAACTGCTCTGCCACTGAACTATAGGAAGCAAAGGTGAGTGTGAGCCCTACTTCAAGAAAGAAGATGGGAGGGAGGGAGAGGAAAGGATATGTGACTGCAGCAGAGTGAAGTGATATCTGGAGGAAAAGGAAAGTGGCTGAGAAGATGTTAGCTCAAAGTAGGGTGCACAAGTGGTGGGGGGCTTTGAGGGGATACATGCATGGGGGCTAAGTGTATCAAGTTAGGATTGTTTCACTTACACTTGCTGAAGCAACAGTGAGGTAGAGTAGGAAGAGGGGTGAGAAGCCAGAAGGCAGCACAGATAGAACAAAAGCATTAGCCTATAGTAAGAAGGGCTCCCAGGGTTGGGAGGTGAGTTCTCAGGAAGCAGAACCCAACAGAGCCAGATCCCAAAGGAAAATTCAGAAAAGGAGACAAAGGTCTCACTGGGGTAGAATCTGGTAGAGGAGAGCCTCAGCTTTGCGTTTTTCCTCCAGATAGGCCTGTGTGCGTTCCTCCACAAGCTTCTCTAGGTTATTGGCATACTGTTCCATACGAAGCAGGAGGTTGTCCAATATGCTGGTGCCACCCTCCCTGCAAGAAGGGTAGGATATGACACCTAAGATTCTCAAGACTATCAGGACTTTCTATCCAGCCCACCAGCCCCACCTCATCCACCAAGAATGATGAAGCTTCTATCCTTGGGGAGCCCCTGCCCCTTAATGCCCTCTCACTTATTAAAGCGGCGGATGAAGCCCTTGATTTGTCCAAAGTCTGGCCGCTCAGCTGGGTCCTGGGCCCAACATCGTTCCATCAACAAAACTAGCTCTTCATTCAGTTGGGTCCGATCAATGCTTGGTCGGAAATATGGCCGTTGACCATTTCGGACCTTCTGGACAATCTCTGAAGGTGATAAAAGGTTTGGATGAAGAGGAGAGTCCCCCAGAAGAGGCTGTGAGTAGTGGATTGACTCTCACCTTTGGGGCTAAGGTCCAGACCCTCCAAGTAGAAAGGACCACTGCGAAGTGCTATCTCCTGTAGGATGATCCCAAAGCTATAGACATCAGCCTTCTGCATGCCTGTGGTTGGCAAGGGGTTCCCACTGAGCAGTTCTGGCGCAGTCCATAGCTTCTCTGAAAAGAGGGAGCAGGCTAGCCAAATCCCTAAAATAGGGTACCCCCAAGCACCTCTAGGCTCATCTCCATATTGATATTGCTCCACCTCCCTTTCCCACCCTCCTTGGGGAAAATAATCAAGGCCAGAGGAACAATATACTAAGTGGCTTGTGGGAACCAGCCTCACTGGCATAGAGGGCGTGGCTGTCATCGGGTTCCGCAGTTGATCGGAAGCTGGCCAAGCCATAGTCTGTGATTTTGAGCACAAAACGACTATCCACCACACAGTTGGAGGACTTGAGACTTCCATGAGATGAAATAATGCTGTTGTGGAGAAAGGCCATGCCCTGCGGAATACAGATCAGGTATCTGGATCGCATCTGGCTTATACTTCCTCCTCTCCATAAGATGGACACCAGCTAGCTGCTTAAAGATCTTGGGATCATAAAAACAAGAAGCTGATCTTAGAAGATATCCCTTGCATAGTTTTTATCCAAGGAAGTAGGCAAAATCAGAAAGTTATCCTTTTTGGCACCATAAATAGGATATAGATACCCAGGTACTAGGGACAGAAAACAATATTTCTCCTCATATTATTAATGAATAATAAATAAAAAGAATAAGAAAAAGCAGGGATAAGGGGAGCTACTAATGATTGCCCTGGAAAAGGATGTCAGTCTTCTTAACAGTAAAAGGAACAGAACCATGAGGGTGAACTCCACGAATAATCTGATAGCCACAGTGGCCTCAAATGCCTGATTGCTAATTAGGAAGACAGTTTGAAACCCAAGTACATGATTAGCTAGATGCACCAAGGAAGACAAATCAGTTGCAAACTTTAACACATAACCATGTTGAGGCAGAAAAGGCAGGGAGGAGGGATGCTGGACCAGAGAGAAGAACAGAAAATAGTGAATTAAAAAAACTTGGAAAATGGACAAAAGTAGGAGACAACTTCCAGGCCAATGCAGAAACCTGGAACTATGGAGCCAGAAATGACAGAACCTTTGCCTACAAGGAGCTAAAAGACAGGTTGTAGGAGGGTAGGGTGGTGCTTCCCAAAACCAAAACCCTGGGAGCCCACCCAATCAGTGCAGGTGGGACAGAGAAAGGATAGAAGGTTCTGTGTGCTAGCCAAAGCCACCAGTGTCTAATATTTACCTGTGAATTTGAACAATTTATAACTAGCTTCTATGAACTCTTCCTGTTTATTTCTATCAACAAAACCTTTGGAAATCTCCAAATCAGTGAATTTAATTGTGTGAAGACTGTACAAATGAGATTTTCCAAAACCACTTTCCCATTAAATCATTATTCTCTCATGTTTTTCTTACATTTATCATCACACCTCTAGCTGAACAGTATGTTAACTTTAATGTTTCTCATTGATGGCAAACCTTCACACACACAAGTTTTTTAAAAGAGTAACTCCATGAGAACTTAACACAAAACCAAAACCAACTTCAGGTACAGTGCAGGGTGACTGACTAGACTTGCTCACTGGCTCTAAGACTTGCTTCTAAACACCTATCCAACCCATGCAGGATTCAACTTTATGCCTCCACAATTTATGGCCTCTGGGTCATTTTGAAAACAACTGAAACCTAGAATATTGGAAAAATAACAAAGATTTAGTACGGGTTTCCTTGGTTTCTCCTAGTTTAACCACTAAGTGTTCTTTTTTAAATTTTAGTTTCTGAACAACAGACATGCCAAATATTGGTTGGAAAGTAAAATGAGGAGAGGAAAAATCAGAGATAAATGCTTGGAGACCTCACTCATTTTTCCCTTCTAAGGGATTTTTAATCAGAAATAAAAAGAGATGCTAGAAAGATATCTGAGACATCTAAGGCAAGAGAACAAAAACTGTCTCCAGGGGACAGGACTCCCTGTGGTAGATGAAACTTCTCTCCCTCAATTATAAACCCCACTTCCCTGTTTATCCTTTATCATCCAACCACAGGAATGAAGGGAGATTGTGAGAACAAGACTTTCAGAGGGCTAGAAGGAGAGAAATCATAGCAAAGACTGAATTATGGAGGCATTTTAAAGTGGATGTACTAGCTGGGCATGGTGAGGCACACCTGTAATCCCAGCACTCAGGAGGCTGAGGCAGGAGGATCAGGAGTTCCAGACCAGTCTTGGCTATAGAGTGAGATCTTATCACAAAAAAAGTGGATGAACTCTTAAGAAGGAATGTAGAAAACTCACCTTAACAAGATCATTAATGAGTGAATAACGAAACATCCAGTCCAAGTTGATGCTGTCATTTTCTAGAATATCCTGGTGACATGGAAGAGATCATGTGTCTGTCCTAGTCCCACTGCCTATCATTTGGCAGAGTTAATGTAACTTTGGGGCATCCCCCCACCACCCTGAGTCCCACCAAAATCTACACCTATCCCTCACTTGTAAACTCCCACGAGGACAGTACTCAGTGACGATGCAAATGTTGGGAGGGTCTATGCAGGCTCCAATGAACCGAGTAAGATGGTTGAACTGAACGTCTCTCATCTAGCAGAAAAACAATGGGAAAAGCAAGAAAACTGAAAGAGCTAAAAATTAAATACAGAAACCTACTGCTATCTGAGAGGACCTTTCTCTTAGTTGTTCCTACAACTTGAAATCAATTCTAAATAAACCCCTTGCCCTCCTAGCCAATGCTACTATAGTCTCTCCCTTTCCTCTTCCTGTCTACTCCCGCCTTCCACCCATATTCCATTACATACGTGTTTGAGTTCAAACAGAACCTGCCGGGTCAGCTCAATGCGCTTCTTATTCACATGTTTGATGGCAACAACATTTCCCTGATGGTGGGGGTGGAAAAAGGAAAGGAAAATGGGTATCATTAGAAGTTTCTGGGTGCTAGAAATTACTGGAGCTCAGCTGGGCACAAAGAGAGGGCTATGAGGGGCAGAGGTTCAGGGGAAGAGGTAGCAGATGGGTATGAGACAGGATGAAATGGTGGGGACCAGAACAAGCAGATGACTGTTCACCTTGAAGTGACCGGTGTTGGCAAAGATCTGGTATTTCCCATGGGCTGTCATGAGCGAGCCGTAACTGGATCCCCGCTGGGGCCAAGGGCAACAAGGAGGCGGAAGGATGAAAGGAACATTAGATGATGGTGGTAGTGCAGGGGTTATCATTACAGGCCAATGTGTTGGGAAAGGTTCAGGGTAAGAGGACAGGAACTCGGAGTGGAGGGGACAGCTGAGACGAGGGCTCACCAGTGACAGCGTGAGGCGACTGCCTGCACCTTTATGGTAACGTTCTGAGTTGCCAAACTGCAGCTCTTCCCAGCGAATACGCCACAACATGCTAGCCAGCTCCTTCTCCAGCATCAGTTTTCTGTAAGGACTGCACACCTCAGCTGACTGGCAAGCCCAATCATGCCACCCCTCAAGCCAACTAAAACTCCTGAAGCTATAATTGTAACACTGGGGAGACAGGACTGTGACATCAGGACACATTCTCGACATTTCTGGTACGTGCTTTGCATACTCACAAACACAGAGTTTGGAAGTGAAAGGGGGTTTTTTGTTTGGCTTTTGTGGTACAATTTATTTGTTTGGTTTGGTTTGGTTTGGTTTTGAAACAGGATCTTGCTATGTAGCCCAGGTTGGCCTTGAACTTGGGACCCTCCTGCCTCAGTCTCCAGAGTCCTGGGATTGCAGGCGTGTACCACCATGCCTTGCTACAGTTCTTATCTTTTTCTTTTCTTCCCCCAGTGCTGGGGATCAAACCCAGGGCCTTGCACATGCCAGGCAAGCATTCTACCAATGAATAACATCCCAGCCTATAGTTTTCTTAAAATGGAAGCATCCATGGAAAATTCATCTTTGACCTTAACCCTAATCAAAATCACTACTTAAACTGGGCAAGGTGTTGCATGCATGCAATTCCAGTAAGGGGGATCTCAAATTTGTGGCGAACCTGGGCTACATAGTGAGAACCTGTCTCAAAAAGAAAAATCACTACTTAGCATCCCAAACAAGTAGAACAAACACCTAGGCTGAAAGACAGCTAAGGAGAATGCTAGAGAGGAGGATGTTGCTATGTCTAACAGACAGCCATCACATTAGGGGACCTGTTGCCCCTACGCCACATTACAGGGACCCCTGGCCTTCCCTTGGTAATGGGGAGGTAAGAGTAGGTCAGTAAAAAGCCCAGAACTCACCGGAAAATTAGGAAACTGGAAACACCAAACATGATAAAGGTGATTCCTGTGCCCAGAGCCACAATTGCCAGAGTGGAAAGTGGAGCTGGAATGGAGAGACAGACCCTGAGAAAGACTGTGGGGGGGGGGGAAGGTGAAGGTGCAAGGAGTAGACAGCTTTCTTGAGGGAATGAAATAGGAGAGAGGGCTGTAGACAAAGAGACAAAAATACAGCTAAGAGGGGGAGTCAGTGAAGGTGGAGGAGAGGGAGGAATGATTGCTCCCAGTCCCTGCACACACCCACTTTTATCACAGGATGGGTCGTCCAAGTCAAAGGCACAGGGGGGATTGTCCAAGGGCGGGGTTCCCTTCACCCAGGGAATGGGCCGTCCCGTCCACCAAATCTGCTTCTCTGCTCCTGAGTAGTGGGCTGCAGGCTGTAAGGAAGCAGAACACTGGGCCCACAGGCCTTCCCCCTCCAAATACCTCCCCCAGACTCCAACCACCTGCTGCTCTTCTCCTTAGGCCACCTAGCCAGGATACAGCTGTAGCAAAGGAAATAAGTCCCTGCCCCAAGAACCTTTGCTTTTGCCCCCAGGAACCCTTGAAAGCTGGATTTTGTAGGGCCAACATTCCCTGACCCCTCCCCTATCACCTGAAAGTCCCCAGAATCCAAGTCTCCCATGGCCCACAGGACAAAATCAGTCTCCCGGTCATTGTTCTTGTCCATAACAACCAGTCCAGTTACACCTAGGATAAAAAAAAGAGTACCCCTTACTTAAGAGACCTTTCCTAGGCCTCTCTCCCTCCATACCCCAGTCTGTCCCCAGCCCTGTTCTCAATGTGCATTCACCTCTGCCCTATTCCCAACCCCTACTGACTCTCCCTGTTGCCACTGGCATGTTTTTTCTTCTGTCCACTCCACTCCTAAGCCAGATATCAGCCCTCAAGCCTCTACCTGCCCCACCTCATTACCATGGTATCTTCGTCCCTGCATCTTCTCCACAATTCGAAGTCCATCTTCCCGGGTGCCTCCTTCATGTATTGTCTCATTCAGGACTTGAGCATAGAGCAGGATCCCATCATAGAAGCAGCCAGCAATGAGGTTCATCTGGGGACAGCAACTTTAGCAGTGCTCTCCAAATGTCCTGTGAGGCCCTTTCCCCAGACCCCTTTCCCATCTCTGCGGTATCCTTCCACCTATCCTTTCTTCCCTCCTCTCACTCCTAAAGCGCCCTGGTCCCTGGAGCATAAAGAAAATACACAGGATAGAAGCAGACAGCCCCAAACTGGGGCTCGATCCACAGCCAAGAATTAATGCTGAGTTAGGGAGGGGAGCCCTTCCTCATAGTCTGAACTCTGAGGCGGGGAGAGATCTACTCACCAGGGACGGGGCCAGCTCTACACCAAAATCTTCCCTGGCTCTTATCAGTAGACGATTCTGGAATTCCTGATACTCCGGATTTGGGGGTTCTCGGTATGTGATCACCAATACAGTCTGTACCAGCAGCACATAAGGAAGAGTGAACAGATTTCAAGATAAGCATAAGGGGAAGAGAAGAGGTGGGACAGGGAAACTTGGTAACATATGCATGATGCAAAATATACATGGCGGAGTGTGAAGGGTGAAAGGGTACTAAACTCTGAGCAATGGGGGTTGGGGAAGTAGTCGTACCCCTCCATGAAAGGCAGATAGGGCTGGTTCTAGGAAGGTGAGACTGGAAAGTAATAGATGATGTCAACTGCATCCCCAAAGCCCATCATCTTCCTCAACTCCCTAGCACCATCAGGCCTCCTGTCAAGCTACCACAGCTCACAGAGGCTCCTCCCTCCCATCCTTTCTGGGTACCCATCACTATCAAGGACAACACTAATCAACAGCGCCTCTCAGAGTTGTTAACTACTGTTAATGTTATCAGTGAAATGTTGACTTTTTCATGTCAGCCACTTGCACACAGTGCCTCTACACAGCGAATGAAAGAGATTTCAGGGCCTGTGAGGACTGTGGGAAATACTTGAGACAGTGATTCTGCCTCTGAAAAGCTACGAGTTCTTGTTTCACATGTATGGAACACCTTCCATAAGCAACATTGTCCTGCTTACTGAGTAGCAGAAGTATGTCACAGGGACAAACACACAAGTCGCATTCCCACACACACATTGCATAGATAAGTAAATCATACATGTGGTCTCAGCCATGTACACATCTTACTGGCACAAGTCAATGTGCCTCTGTCCCTCACCAAAGTGCTGGCCTGACCCTCTTGATCAAGCCTCATGTTTCCTCTTTTTAGAGGAAACTTACGTTACAACTTCAGGAAGAGTCTTCAGTTCAATATATTGTAAAGCATGACTTTGTGTAATGATAGGCTAAAATCTAGTCATTTCTACCAGTTTTGTTCATTCTTGTCATGGAAAGTGCATGTAAATCACAGACATACTAGATTTATTACATGTGATCTGTAATCAGTTCATTAGAGGCAGGAAACAATGAAGCCAATTCCAAACATACATCCATTATATAGGATGGAGTTTGCTTCATGATATAATTACTTTGTTAGTTTGAGACAGGGTCTTGCTATGTAGGCCAGGCTAGCCTCAGACTTTCCTGAGTGCTAGGATTATCTATGGCCATCCCACCCGGAACCTGACCGATCTCCTCTGAGTGCTGGGATTAAGGAATGAACCACCACGCCTGGCTTAATTATTCTTACTGTAGTATTTACAAGCTTGATTATACATTTCCAATATTCTTCCACTCTCAGTTAAAACAAAAAAAGAGAGTGCTACTGAGGGTAGTAGGGCTGAAAAGGTTCACTTGGTAACACTTCTAAGAATAAAGGAAAAAGAGATAGGACATTGTTGACAAATGTAAAGTCAGCAAAAGAGCTAGGAAAGATCAGACTTAAGACAATTTATATTTCAATAAAGGCTCATGATAAGTTTTAAATACTTTAACACTTAGTAATTTCCTGGGTTGGTATATTTGCTAGCCTAACAATAAGTAAATTTTGGTCTCAGGAATCCTTTACGCTCTTAAAAATTATTGAGAACCCCGAAGAACTGTTAAGTGGATTATATCCACTAATATTAGAAATTAAAACTGATAAATTTTGAAAACACAAGAATGCACAAGCACTCTTCCATGGTTTTCAGAGGTGACATCATCACACGTCGTGCAGCCTCTAGAAAACTTCACTGTACAGATGGAAGAACGAGAGTGATGAAGACAAATAACATCTTAGCATTATTTTTTAGATAGTTTTGACTTCACGGTCTCCCTGCAAGAATTTCAGGGACCTCTAGGATCCCAAGACCACACTTCGGCCATGCTAGACTGTTTTTACTATGGTTACTAATTAGCTACTAAAAAAAAACCAGTTTCTGAGCTTGCTTCTAGAGAGAAGGTGTAGGTAAATGAGCCCCATTTCACGGTGGACCCCAGGTGTGGAAAAAATAAATAAAAGCAAGCAAAGACTGCCAGAGATGGGTTTGGTGGTGAGTAGAAGCCAAGAGTACACCTAGGAAATGTGCGAGCCCAAGCTGCCTGCCTCTACCTGTGTCACCCACGCTGAAACCGGCTCTGGCCACAGGAGGAAGTGCTGTCAACAGTGGCCAGAAGAGACAACAAATGGTCTATAAGAAGATTGACTGCCTTCTACAGCCCTAAATTTAGTGCTTTCTTCCATTCTTTCTTTTCTTTCTCCTTCCTTCCTTCCATTTAATCCTCGACTAAGGATTAAACCCAGAGCCTTATATATGCTAGGCAACCACTAAACTAAACCAGTGATGCCCCCCTCCCCATACACATCTTTTTTGGGACAGAGTCCTAAACTCTAGATCCTCCTGCCTCAGCCTCCCTAGTGCTGGGATCACAGCCGTACACAACACCCAGCTCCTTTCTTCCACTCTTGCTGCAGGTGTTTCCCACTATAACCCAATCTCATGCTAGCCATCTGGGCTGTGACTTCTGCCTGTATTTCTAACCCTACAGTCCTCAATTGGCCAGCTTGGGTCCCTAAATCCTCAGAGCTTGGTCACTGCCTATTAAGTTCCACTCTAGTTTTCATCCCTGTCCTGATTAATTACCTTGGTTCACAGTGCTTTTTTCCATTTTCCTTTCAGACAGGAGTTCACTATGTAACCCAGGCTAGCCTTGAACTCACAACCCTTCTGCCTCAGCCTCCTGAGGGCTAGGATTACAGGCAGAAACCAGCCTTCTCTACTCTCTAAACAAATTCCTAGTCCTGTACCCCCTCTCCTCAACACACTTTTTTTTTCAGTATTAGGGTTGGAACTGAGGGCCTCACACTTGCGAGGCAGGCACTCTACCACTTGAGCTACACTACTAGCCCTTTATTGTTGTTGTTAGGGGTTTTTTTGAGATAGGGTCTTGAGAACTGTTTGCCCGGGTTGGCCTTGAACCGAAGTCCTCCTGATCTCTGCTTCCTGAGTAGCTAGCATTACAGGTGTGAAGCACTAGCACCTTGTCCCACACACATTTAAATTCAACAGGTATGTACTGAACACCCACTACATGCTAGGTACATGGAATACAACGATGAACCTGATCCCTGCCCTTGAGCAGCTATGGCTGCGTGGAAGAGGAAAACCAAATGAACATACTTAACTTCAGAGCCCTCTCCCCCAGTAGCTGGTGTGCAGCCTATGCTGGCTCCTTTACCTTAAGGGTGATACCTTCCTAGAAAGGCTTTGGACCTCTGTGCCAAGACCTCCTCACCTCACCTAACACCTTTTCCTGCTGGACTGGTCTGGGTCAATGTCTCTGGAGGAAAGGTTCTCTGTTCTTTCATCCTTGATTGGCACTAACCACCCAGATTTCCTGCCCTATCCCCTGTCCTGGGTCAGCACGAGGAAAGAATGAGGGAAGCTTTCCCAGAGAACACCTCATTATCTCTCACCCCCACCTCACTCCATTTCAAGCTTCAAGTTTCCCCTCAGCATGTTCTCCACTGACTGTTTCCCTTCTCATGTATTACAGCAAAATCTCTATTTTCCTGATCAAATAAGGTCCAAAGTGAGAGGAGAGCTAAGAATTCACTAATATAATTGATTATTAGCTGACTAGCTCCCTCCTCCTCCTCCTCCAAGTACTGGGGACTCTTAGATAGGAGGAAATCTCACAAGAAAGAGGTTTTTCTTCTATAAAAAGAATATGGCCCAGAGTACTACAGAGTCCTCCTATCCAAGAGGGTCATAGACATTCCTTGACCATACTATGGTACAATCCCCTCTGTCATTTTCTTCTCATTATATGCTATGAATTTCCTTTTCCTTTCTGGTAATTTTTATCAGAATATGTTACTATACTTGCATGTATTTACTTATATATTTATTATTGATCTCTCCTACTAAATATAAACTCCAAAAAGGCAAGGATTATATCGCTATTGTGTTGTGGTGGGGACATAATAGGTGCTCAATAAATACTAATAGAATAAGTCAGTCTTCAAATAAGTCAAATATGGACTGAATAATATGTTCTATGATAGAAAGAGTTAGCAAGAGTAGGAAACTCAGCCCAGCCTGGGATTCAGGGATTATTTCCTAGAAGGGAAAATAACTGGCCTGAGTCTTAAAGAACATGGAGGCATCATTCAGACACAAAAGGTAAGAGGTTATTTTAGGAAAAATTAATAATGTAAACAAAACCTGTCCTGCCCATGTTCAAGTGTCACAGTCACAGACTCATACTGGGCATGCAAACAGATATGTCATTCACAGTCAGACACACTCATCAGTCACAACCAAATGTATAATCACAGCCACATAAAACCTTACTCATTGGAGAAGAATGGCCACCCAGGTCCAGCCCTTGTACACATCTACTTAGAACCAAAGAATCTTGGAGTGAAAACAGACCTTAAAGTCATTCCATAAACCATCTCACCTCCTTTTTGGAAGAAGTGAGGGATATGGATAAATAAATAAAAAATACTTTATATATATATATATATATAAATCAGTGAAAAGTTGGTGAGCGAGCCAGGGAAAGAGTCGATAATATATGGTTTCATGGGTATGAGAATTTACGGGTTTGATTTTGTAAAGCAGAGACCTGGAGAGAGGGATGAAACAGCACCACCTAGAAAGGGAGCAAAGAGCACAAAGTGCTGGGGGGACTTGAGAGAAGTCTAGTCAGCTGGAGTTCTGGGCATGAGGGCACTGGGAGATGAGACTGCAACGGTGGTTTGAGAACAGACTATAGAAGCCCCTAAACATCACAATTTGGAGTCAGGATTTTATTCTGCAGGAAATAAGTCACTGAAAGTTTGGAGCAGAGGAGGGAAATAAACAGTCTTGCCAGCTCTCTACAAATTCTTTCTCGAGTCCACTTCTCTCCATTCTTACTATCCTCACCTGGGTTTAAGCCATATCATCACCTCACTCCTTTCTAGCTTATCAGTCTCATTGCCTAGTCTCCTTTTCTTTTTGTCTTGGTTTCTCCTAATTCAACCTGAATTCTGTTTTCTATATTTATTATCTCTCTTCCCCTCAAATTGTCAAGGACCTGAAATTCAAGTTCTAGTGCTTTAAGAGCTCTCTTTAATCTAATTATACCTTTGCCATTTTATTTCCTATATGTGCCTTAAATGAACCGTTCTTTCTTACCAGGCCGGTATCTTCCATGTCCCCAAATATGCCCACCCCATTTTTGTCTGCACAGGTTTCCTGGATCCCTCTCCCACTTTGACCATGAACCTGTTTCAGGCACATAATCACCTTTTTTTTTTTTTTGGTGGCACTGGGGCTTGAACTCAGGGCCTCATACATGCAAAGCAGGCACTCTACCATTTGAGACACTCCACCAGTCCCATAATCACCTTCTTTCTTGAACTTTACCTAACTATATACCATAGTTAAGCCTCATTCTCCAGAAAGGGTGGTGGCCCCCCATAGGCAAGGCTCAGATTTTCTCTTAAACTTTTCTCCTTCACAGTCTATACTACTACTTAGGAAAGTAGGCACTTTTCTTAGGCACTTAGGAAAGAAAGCCAGTGTTCTAGGATCTTTGGCAGTAGCCAAAGTCAGTCTTGGTGGCAGACACATGAAGAGTCACAAAGCTGGGGGAAAAGGAAGAGAGATACCAGACTCGGAAAGCTTTGTAGCTCACAACTCTTGCCCTGTTCCTAGGATTTCTGTGGGGTCTTGTGAGAGACAGAATCTCCAGCAAAGCGCCTCTTCCCCTCCTCCTTCAAACGGGTCTCAAATGATACCTGAAAGGCCTCTCTGAGGGCCTGTGCCTGTTCCTGGGTACGATTGTCCTGCCATGGCCGGCCTGTAGCACGTGTGGGCCCCGCACGGAGACTCTCCCCAAAGACATCCAGGTAAAAGAAGACATAGTCCCCATTGGTCAGGTTCTCCCTCTGGGCCTGGAGCAGGATCTCATGCAGCATCTCCAGAGGGCCGCAGATATACACAACTGGGAGCAGGCACATGACAGAGGAGCACCCTGAGAAAGCATCCGGGTCCCCCACCAGCCCCCTTTGATTCATCTGTATGTCTCTCCTCAGCAAGAGTGCCTACCAATCAACCACCCAGCAGATGCTCTTCCCCATTGGGGCCCACATCATAAGTGCCCTGAGGCCATATGGACCATCTGGCAGAAGTCAGAGCTAACTCCAGACCCCAGAGGAAGACAATGATGATTCAAGCCCCTCCTTTCCCCAAAGCCTTGACTGCTGCTCCTCACCAGCCCTCCACAATCTTCACTCTGCCCTGTCTTTTCCCTAGGCTATCAGACACTGGCTGCTCAGAATTTCTTAGTATGAGCTTTACCTGCTTTTCCCAACCAAGACTGCTGAGCCCTGAGCCCATTTATGGAGTCTTCTCTATTTTTATGTTACAAAGCGGTTTGGGTGTCCCAGGCTGGAGGTCTCTGCTCACAGACAGATGCATATTTCAGAGTGGCCATCATCCACATCCATCACTCTGGGGCACCCACATTGATCAACATCACCAGTCCCACATTCTCCTGGAACAGGCCTCACCCCTCCCACTTCCTTTTCCTTGCCTACATCTACCTCCAATGCCCACAAGTCCCCCACCTAACACTAGGGTCCTTTCACAGGTGTTCTGTCCACATTTGCTTCTCCATCCCAATCACTACACATAGCTCCTCCATGGGAAGCTCAGCCTCCCAGTGCTGAGCTCCAGGGATACAACGACCCTCCTCCCCTGACCCTAAAACAGCCCGGGCCACACTCACTGCGCCCGTTGGCCCGGATGAAGTGGGTAGCCTGCTCAGGGCCTCCTGGCTCACGGGCATACACCTGGTGCTGCACACTGAGGTTGCTGCCCTGCAGGGCCTCAAAGACGCCCTCGATGGTGAAGTAGTGAGGCCGGTCATCTGTGCGAGCATCCAGATACAGCAAGGCAGCACGGGCAGTCCAGTTGAAATGCCCGTGTAATGTAACTACAAACTCACCCAGCTTGGGAGCAGAGGGGCCAGTGCGCACCAGGGTACGATAATGCTCATTTTTAGCAGCAAAACCAGAGGCCACCGCACCCGCAGTCAGCAGGGGAAGGCGCCAGTGTGAGGCAAAGCGGGCCACAGAGGCAGCGGGGTACACACAACCCGGGCCCAACAGAAGGTCAGGGTCATGGTACAGTTTGAGGTCCACAGCGCGCAGCGGTGCCAGGTACTCAGAGCAGGCGCCATCTAGTTCAGAGCTGACAAACCGCAGGTCCACGGGCAGTGCCCGGCCCAGTGCCTCCACGGCTAGTGCCACAGCAGGACCCACCCGTGGCCAGGCCCAGGCATAGCTCAGGTTGTGTTCTGGCAACACCACCGCCAGCGTCAGGTTCCGCGTCCCAGGGGGGCGCACCCCACCTGCTAGAGCTGCCACCACCAGCAGCAGTGATGGCAATGCCATGGGGATAAAGCAGCAGCGCCAGGGCCCCCAGAACCTGGGGCCGCTCTGGCCTACGATGCAGGCACAAGCACAACCCAGCCTGGAGCCTGGGGAAGAGGGCCAGGAAAAGAAGTAGGGACAAGCTAAGTCCGCAGGGATTCAGAAAGTGCTGGGGACCGCAAGAAGAGGGGATGGGAGGCAGCCTGGGGTGGACAAGGAGTGAGCTACCAGCCCAGGGCAAGGACAGAGGACGAAGGGTAGGGTGGCAGGAGGAGGGAGGGACCAAGGGTGCCTGCGACCGACCGGGATGGGGACAGTGAGGGGTGAAGTGGCCTGACAATCCAAAGCCCAGAAAGAGAAGGGGATCTGAGCCTGGGATGGGATGGGGGTTGGGGGCAGGCTGGTACAAAGAAACGGCCTGGGGGCACCTCACAGCTGAAGAGGCTGGGAGCACAGGGAGCTGGGAAAAACAGGACCCAGGGACTGAAGTGGGAGGGCGTCCGCGCCACGGAAGGACTGGGACATGGGCAGGCGGGGAGCGAAGCGAGGCCTGCGCCGGAGGGGAGGGAAAGGCAGGGGTAAATCTCCCTGTGAAGGCTTCTCCCGAAGCTCCTGCTTGGACTAACGGGCCCGGGCGCTGGTCCCATCCGGAGCTCCGGCGGCCCCGCCCGTGTCCCCGCTCCTCTCTCTTCGCTCGGCTCCTCCTGGGCCCCGGCGGCCGGCGCTGCCCCGCGCTTCCCTCCGCCCCCCGCCTGGGCCCCCGCGCGCGCCGCTCGGTCCAGGTCAGGTCGCCTCGGCCCGGCGCGTCTCTGCTCGCTGCGCCGGCGGCGGCGGCCGAGTGTGACTTCCCGGGCAGGCCGCCTGCCCCCGCCCTCGCCCCGCCGCCCCTCCCCCGCCCCCGCCGGCCCCACCCTCCGGCGCTGCCTGCCTCCCCCACCCTCCACCCGGCGCCCGGGGACCTCCCAGTTCTCCAACCCACCCAGTGAGCGCGGGGGGCTCCGCACCAGGGCCTCGCAGGCCGGCCAGGTTCTCCCCCTGCCTCCTGCAAAGCCCCTGGTCCACCGGCCTCTCTCTTTCATCTCACTCATTAAAGCGACCCCAGAGCCAGTCTTCTCCCCCCTCACTTATCGTGCTTTTCTTAGGGTCCCATCCCTCAACCCCTGAGTCCCTCAATCGCTTCAGTTTCCAGGAAGCAGCAGGAATCCCCAGACATTTGGTATCCATTTAGGTATGGTTTCCCCCGCCTAGGAAACCATACTACTCTCCTAAGTGTCAGGAACCCCAATTCCTTCAGCGGGGAGACTTGCCTGCTCACTGGAAGACAGACCCCCCGACACCAAAGGGTTCCCATGTTCCACGTTAGTGATTCCTTATGAAGTCTCCTTCTTTCTGGGAACTCAACCCTCCACTCACTCTTTCTGTCTCCATGGACCCTCTTGTTGCCCACAGGCTTCCACCGGCCATCTGCTCAAAGGGGCCTGTTCTTTCTTTTGTCTCCCTGCACAGCACAGGCTAGCCCAACAGGCCCCCAGCAACGGAAGCCCATCGCACCCCACCTTGGATTCCACCTTATTCCCAAGTTTCCAGCCTATTAAGTTCACTCAGGTACCCCATATCTGGAGCGCTGATCCGATTCTGAGGAACAGCTTGTGAGAGATGACATCATGGTTGCAGAGGGGACTGTTATGGGACCTTGGGGAATTCTCTCAAACTGTCATAAAGGACACATAAGCCCATTCTTCTCCTTGCTGAGAGCCAATTTTTCTTCCCTTCAAGCCACTTCTCCAGAAATCACAGGCCAAGAGGCTAAGAGCTCCCGAGCAGAGGGGAGAGGGTAGGCTGAGGAGCAACAGTTTCTCTGAGATGAAGGCGACACCTAGTGGTGTTGAGGCAGAAATTAAGGACTTTTATTTGTAGGCAAGATATTTATTTATTGAACATTGGCTGTCCCTACAAACAACGTGGAATGGCAGGGCCCTTGTCTTTAAAGAACATACGATTTGAATCCCTAGGACGCACAGGCCATAGACAAGACCTCAATGACAATCTCTCCTGTCTCTAGCCCAGTAGAAATGGAAGCCTTAGGACTGTTCCTTCAACACCGAGGGATAGTAACTCTAGTTCCAGGCTGCCAGCATTGTCCACGAAAAAGACTTCTGTCTTATCTGAGGAGGAAAAAAGAAGAATGGAATAGCCAGAAGGGTGATGGGAAAATCCAATTTTAGATCAGTAAGCCAAATGATTGCTTTTCATGAGAGAAGCAAATCCAAAATGACACAATCTCAAAAGAATCATAGAATGTCAGGGATAGGACAGATTCTATAAGTAAACCTATTGTTCAATCCTCATATTTAAAGATAGCTGAAAACTAAGTCCCTGAGAGAGAGGTCACATAACTGTCTTCCCCTTCCCTCTCCCCTAACTCCCATGGCTTTTCTTTTGGGGGCGAGGGAGCAGTCCTGAGGTTTGAACTCAGGAGTCTTGTCTTGCACTTGCTAGGTAGTTGTTCTACCACTTGAGCCAGTCTTCCCTATCTCTGCCTCTTGAGAGGTTAGGATTACAGGCATGAGCCACCGCACCTAATTCCACATGGCTTTTTAATAGCAGGGCAAGACTAGAATCTTGGTCTCTAAAGTGGAGCTCTTTACAGATATTCTGCTGACTCATGGAACGTACAGTGTAAAGTTACAGTGTCAAGGCCACCAAAGACCCAGATGAGTCCCTCTGGAACACCTGTAGACCCCAATAAGGATGAGCCATTGTTACACAGACAACTTCAAGGACATGTCATTATTCTCAATGTTAAGGACAACTCTTCACTAGGTTAAGGACGATAACACACTCAGGTATTATTGCAGTTTGGATATGAAGTGCCCCTCCAAAAGGCCATGTGTTGATAAAGACTTGGTCCCCGGTGTAATGTTCAGAGGTGGAGATTTTGGGAAGTGATTGGATCATGAGGACTGTGATCATCAATAGGTTAATCCACTGATGGATTCATTATTTGATGGCATTATTGGGAGGTGGTAGAAACTAAGAAGTAGAGCCAGGTGCTGGAGGCTCACATCTATAATCCCAGCTACTTAGGAGTTTAGATCAGGAGGTTCAAGGCCAGCCCAGGCAAAAAGCTTGTGAGACTCCCATCTCAATGGAAAAAAGGTGGGCGCGGTGGTGTGCAGCAGTAAGCCTTCAATAGGAGGATTGCAGTCTGGGTCAGGCTGGGCAAAAATCAAGATCTATCTCTAAAATAACCAGTGCAAAAAGTGACTAACACAAGTGTCTTGCTGACTCCCTTTTCCTTCCAACTGGCCAGGTGTACTAAGATATGAGAAGGAGCCAGAGATAAGAGTTAAACGACTTAATGAAGATTTCAAATTAACATTCAGTGAAATTTTTTTGTTTTGTTCTTTCATTTTTGGAGGGAGGCTAAAATATTGCATAAGAGAAGCTGCCAACAGAGGGCAGAAAACAGCCATGGAAAGTAAGAGCAGATAAAACACAAAAGACACATTTCAGTAAGGAAAAGGAGTTAAAAGAGAATAGTAGTGAAGTGTATAGAAGGCAAAGAAAGACTGTGTTAAAAATTCTGCATTATTGGGCCAGTGTATTGGTACATACCTGTACTCCCAGCTACTTGGGAAGTGGAGGTAGGAGGATCATGGTTCTAGGCCAGCCTCAGCAAAATTAGCACAAGCCCCTATCTGTAAAACAAACTAAAAGCAAAAATGGCTGGGGACGTGGGGCAAATGGTACAGCACTTGTCTAGCAAGCATGAGGTCCTGAGTTCAGTCCCCAGAACCACAAAAATTAATTAATTTCTTTTAACCTCAGTGAAGGAGAGATAGAATCCTCTAACAGGTTAAACCATCACAGTCCACGTGCCCCCTTCTCTTCACTCCTAGTTTCCTCCCATACCACACAGCACACAGGATGGCTCTGGACCTGGGGTTCAGTTTACCTTGACATCTTTGAAGAGCTGTCGTGACTATCTAAAGGCTAAAGGCTTTTACTTTGAGTTCATGATTCTCTTTGTTTTTAAAGTTAAAAGGTTTTAAGACCTTAGTAGTAGAGCTCAAGCTTAGCCTGCATGAGACCCTGGGTTCAAGTCCCAGTACCCTCTCTCTCCCCTCCAAAAAATTGTTAAAGCATTTTCAAATCAGATATCAGCTTTCAAATTACCTGTTCAAATATGTGTTCTAAAAGATGGACTGGGGCCAGAAATAACTTTAGTGAAAACATAGTCCAGACTAGTAGTTTTCCAATGGAAAGTGCTTCACAGACAGCCAATGATACCTGAGAAAAATTGAAAAATTTTTAGGAGAAGCAACCAAATGCATTTATATTTTTGATGATTCAAGCTCCAGGTGAACCATATTTGCTCCATCCAGGCCTAGACCAGGACCCATGTGAGTGTCCGTGAAGGTCCTAGTGCCTCCACTGCTCTCCTACACTTGGCCTGTCTTTCTAGGTACACATACTCCTTCCCTATTCCCACTCTCACCCCTCCCATTATTACCAACCCACTATTTATTCACTATTGCTGGGGAGCATCTGATAGCATGAAGTCTCAAACATAATACACACTGATGAGATTGGGTGTGGTCAGGGTGGTATGGCCTTAGACTCAAACATACTACACTCTGTAAGTCTCTCTTCCACTTCATTTAATATTCTACTATCTTTACAAAGTCCTTCCTTGAGAATTGGCAAGAGGCAGATCCCAAAAGGAAAAGGTGTTCCCTTCCCTTTAAGTCCTGCTAAATTTACAAATACCTCACATAAAAAGAAGCAAAGGAGACATAGTCACTACAGCTTGCAGAGAATGAAAATATATTTGTCACTAACCTTCTGTTTAGAATTTTCTAGAGAAGTCAAAGTCTAGGAAGAGGAAGAGAAAAAATTGAAGCAAAACTGACAAAAACATATTCTTTTTGCATGTGCTATAATATGTCATGAAAACCAAAAAGAGTAGCTAAGCAGTGGCAATGAAAGATTGGTTGGCAAAGACCAGTGGAGAGGTTTCTGGCCAAATCCAGGTACAGAACAGCAAGTGCCTAATGTAGGGTAGGATAGAAATGGAGAGAAAAATGAATCTGAGATAATCTAAAAAAAGAAACAACAGGATTTGGTGGCAGACTGGATCTACAGGACGAAGAGGAAAGGCTCAAAGGTTACTACTGTAAGGCATGGGTCACAAAAGCCCCCAAAGTCTAGGAAGGAAGTGCAAATAAGGGGGAGGGCTGAATGGGTTTTGGCAATCCAGGAAGCCCCTGCTCCATCTAAAGTGGGTGTTGCCACTCTGGGATGAAGCCAAGGTGCCAGTTCTGACGATTTTTCCTTTGGATGGTTTCAAGTCTGTGGTCTCCAGTCTTGCCTCCCTCCTATCCAACCCCCACAATGTGTTCCGACGCCAAAGAAACCTTCTGAAACAAAAACTTAATTATGTCACCTCCCTGCTTAAAATCCTTAAATGGTTCCCCATGGAAGCTGTTTCTCAGAAGTTATTTTTAGCAGCAAAATCCTTCCTTCAAATGAAAATTTAAACATAAATCAGAAAAAAAGATGTCTAAAAAATGTCCAGGAGCTCCAGATGAAGGCAGGGGTGGTCCCAGAAGCCCCCTGCCCTTACCACTTTCTCAGTCAGGGCCTCTGAGGCAACTGCAGAGAAACTCTGGTCAGTGGCCTTCAAAGAATGACAACACAGGGCTAGGGGTATGCTCAAGTGGTAGAGTGCTTGCCTAGAAAGTGCAAGTCCCTGAGTTCAATCCCTAC